CTAGTTTCTAATTAACTATTTTACTAGTGTATATTCTGTATATGTGTTATTTATTATTATTTGTTTTATAATAGGAAATTATTTTAGTAATTTCTACTTGAGATTGTCATTTAGTTATGTTGGGGATTCTGATGTTTGTTTATATGTTATATGTTCGTATGATAAGTAGGAAATTAATGTCTGTGATCATTTTTGTTACTACCAAATTAAGAAAATTAGTTTTGGGTTTTATTGTGAATTTAAATGAAATTTGTTTGCGTTTCTGTCATATCTAGTTCGTTTATAAAAATATTAGGCACTGTTGACTTTTGATAAGATTTTGATGAAACCAGTATTATTGTTTGTAATCAAAAGAATCAAAACTCATTAATACAATATTTAATCATACAAATTTAGAAAATAGCACTGTTAAGAACTAATTTATAAATATCCATATTTTGATTTACAGAAAAGGACGAACTATTATGGGTGCCAATACATATGTAATCTATATTATACTTGTAGAACTTTCTCATAAGATACTTTTGCTTTGTAGAAGAGTTATTTATTTTGAAAAAAAAAAACAAGTTGTAATAAAGTTCTCCATTTTAGAAGGTCTTTTTATTATTATTTAGAAACATACAATCCTCATCAACCACGCAGGACTATTAGTGGAGAAAGATTTTACGAGCATTCTGTGTAAGTGAACTAGCTAGAGCTATATTGGACTTTTAATAATACGTTGAATGAGAATCTATGTACCAGGCTCCATGAGTGCATGTTAGATGTTTATCACGAGGAAATTAAGAAAGAAATTGGAAATTCTCCTCGTGTTGCAGTGATTGCCGATGAAATGACAGACGTTGCTGGTGAATTTCAGTTAGTTATAGTTTTCCAGTATTTGTGTGAAGAGCTACCAGTTGAGACATGCTGGACGAACATGATGCCAAATCAATCGCTGAATACATTTTAAATCCCTTGTGGTTAATCGCAGGTTGCCAAAATCTTTCTAAACACGTTGGAATTTTCAATCAAGTGGTTTTCATACTGTTATTGACAATATTCACGGAGAAATAAACACGTCACAGAGAGAAACGGATAATGATGAACCGTAAAAAAGGCGTGAATTGAAGAGGACAAGGCAGCAGAAAACGGGAAGACTTAGAGCTATGCGGTGCAGTTTTGTTGCAAATAAAAACAAGATTTACCTTCTCCAGGCATATAGTTAATTCTAATTTATTTATATCAGAGAAGTTTTCTGCTTATCAGTTCCCTGAATCATTTGTTAATGAAAGATACAGACAATTTTTATTTTTAAACAAAACTATGCTTAAAGCTGAATTACAAGTACTTTGTCAGAGAAACGAATTAAGTAATACCTCTGGGGCTGTCCACTATCAGTTTTATTAAATAAGGAAGATTTAAAATGTACATTTGAAGAAACTATTAAATCTAATTAATCTGTAAATCTAATTTTATTTTTTTTCTCTGTAAAAACGTTTGTACATTTTCCAACGTTTCTTTGAATCTGATTCTACTTCTGAACTACACAGGTACTCACTATCAGAAGCTTCGAATGGTTCATCATCGTCATTGGAAAGTTCTCCAAAATTTATTGTAATGCTCTTGCCGTACTGCTCCACCATAGGCCGATCAGACACCAGCATATTCTAGTCTAAGCTGCAGATTGCAGATTCATCTAGAATTTTAAACTGCTGCGTTAGCCTTTTTATTTATCTATACACCGCGCTGGGACTCGAACTCACATCCACTGAACCATTCGCAGTGTAGCGAATGAGAATCGGCCGCCTAGCCCGCTTGGCTGTAACAAGAACGATAAGCATTCGTTTATGTTTACTGTGATGGACCAACAGCACATAGAAGCATTAATATGGTTTACTGGACTGCGTTATCCCAATGGGACCAACACATTTGTTATATGGTGGCTCATAGGCGCACTTAATAAAAAGGAATGGTTGGCTCACATTTAGAAAATATAGTCGGCAGCGAACGTGTTAAAGATTCATTTTGTATACTTTTGAACCAGTCTTTGCTTACTTTTATAGCATGAGAGAAGTCAATAGTTTTTGTGCGAGTTAATCCTGACTTTAAGTAACTTTTCTTACTTGGTCTTGTTGTAGATGCATAAGTATATGATAATGGATCACATACATTTTGGGGTTTTAATAACGGTTTTTTGTTGAGATGACCATCTGTGTCCATTTTTACTCAAAAATGATGATTTTTATCTTTAGCTGCAAATCGTGGAGCTCATTTCTAGAAGGATATTGAGTAAAACCAGATTTAGATGTAAAATAATTTTAAACAGTTTTTTATTTATTTATTATGAAACAACATTTACAAATATTAACTTTTTATTTATATTAATTATATTCAGTATAAAATCAGCCACAAGTATCCCGATGTCACAATGAAATAATAAAGAAATAAAAAATAATATATCTAATTATAAAAAATCTAAAATTATTTTGAGAGTTATCTCTCTATCTACAGTCTCATATAAAAGAAACACAAGACCTTCATGAGTATTTCTGCAGAAAAGCAACCAGGTAGCTTACCCTACATTTACAAACAAAAATTTGACTATGTGAAGATTATTCAATAACTACTTGACCAGATACTTACCTAACAGTGGAAACTTAAGGTTTTTTTGATTAGAATGAGCCCAAATCTCATAGGTGATTATAAAATGCAACCAAAAATCCTTCGAATTTGTGGTAAAAATGTGTCAAAAGGTTACAGAAAACATTTAAACCATTTAAATTTTGCAATTAACTGCAATATCTAAGCGACCAAGAATTTTGTTAGTTCCTATTGCTGTGTTAGAATTATGTGCATATAGTCATTAGAGATATATTTTGTATGTCTTTATTGCACATATTTTTACTGGGCATCTACAAACTACATACGCTACAACTACAAATTTAGGTGTATGTATAGTTTAGGTTGATTTAATGACTATAACAAATAGAATAAGCAGGGGAAGTGTGTCTATGACGGACCCCTGGCTGTAATTTGAACTAGCTCACGGTTATACATTGTCAGTTGCCGCTTATGCACGAAGTTTGTAGTTTAGTATTTATAAAATTTCAGACATGTGGCTGTTGTAAATTTGTGAAATAAAATTAAAATTTGGCGTTGCTATATATTTTTTTAGTAAGTAGTACCTATTTTACTGGTAACATAGATTAAGCTAATTATTGCTTTTGTTTTGTATTAAATGGCTAAACTTTCTTTGTCACATACTATACTTTGTTTTAGGTTAAAATAGTCAAAACAAAAGTAACAGAATTAAATTTACTGCCTTATCTATTTGCCTCAAATCAAAGCCGAATAGATTACAGGTACACGACACTAATCAAAAACATCTATCAGAACGCTACATCAAGTATACGACTGCACGAAGACACAGAAAAATTCAGCTTAGATCGAGGAGTTAGACAAGGAGACAATATTTCACCAAAATTGTTCACGGCAGCTCTAGAGTCAATATTTAAGGGTACTCAATGGCAAGATATGGGCATCAATATAGATGGAGAAAGATTAAATCACCTAAGGTTTGCAGATGATGTTGTATTAATCGCAGATAACTTACAAGATACAGTTTCTATGATGCATTCGCTTAAAAGTCTGTCTGAAAGAGCAGGATTAAAGATAAACTTTGAGAAAACTAAAATTATAACAAATCTCGTAATGAGTGGAAATATAACTATTGACAATAATACCATACAACAAACAGACACTTACAAATATCTGGGACACGAAATCAAAATAAGCAGAGACAATCAAACACATGAAATACAGAGGCGAATAGGTCTAACATAGGCAGCATTTGGCAAATTAAGCCATATTCTAAAAAGTTCAATTCCCATGTGTCTCAAGCGAATGGTTTATAACCAATGTGTTTTACCTGTACAAACTTATGGAGCAGAGACTTTAACACTCACGCAAAAATCTATGAATAAACTTAGAGTTACACAACGAGCCATGGAATGTGCAATGCTGAACGTGAGCCTTCGAGACCACATAACAAACCAACAAATCAGGCGAAGATCAGGAGTTCAAGACGTCATCGAAAGAACCACGACGCTTAAGTGGAACTGGGCAGGGCACTTAGCCAGAACACAAGATGGACGGTGGACAAGACATATTATGGAATGGAGGCCCAGAAATTATAAAAGAAGCCGAGGACGACCACCGACTAGATGGACCGATGACATTAAACGTGTAGCGGGAAACTGGCTACAAGCGGCCCAGTGTAGAGAACACTGGAAAGAACTGAGGGAGGCCTATGTCCAGCAGTGGACGCGATTGGCTGATTGATGATGATGATCTATTTGCCTATGATGGTGATGGGCCACTATGTGGTTACCTATGATGGACTAGAGGTCCATCATAGGAAAAGGAAAATAAATTGGACATATCTTAAGTTTTGCTACTTAATGATTAACATAAATTCAGAAAAGTCAACAATGAAAAGAGAGTAATATGCAGCAAGCTTTAAAGGGCTTGAGCAGGCAGCAAAAGGCGCTTTATTAAGCAACAAGGAAGTATCAAAGCTCAATTGAGCAGGAAGTTGCTGACCATATTATCACCATGGAAACTTGGTTTTTTGACCTCGCCAATAAAGATTTGTGAAAACATGTATATGAAGTAGCTGAAAGAAACAATATTAACCACACTTTTAATAAGAAAGCCAAGATGACAGGCTGGAAATGAGTCAGAGGCTTTTTAAAGCAAAATTCTCGAATATCATTACACTCCAGAAAATACTTTACAAGGGCTCAAGCTTTTAATAAATAAAATATAGGTGCGTATTTTACTGCATTAGCAAATGGACAAGTTTCACTTTCCACCAGAAAACATTTATAATATGTATGAGTCCAAGTATGTGCAATGAATGCAATTGGAACATTGTTCCTCTTGCTTTGTTTTTTTCTTCACAGAGAAAGAAAGATGAACTTATAATTGATGCACCTACTGGATGTGTAGCCTTCGCTCAGGAAAAAAGATTGATGACTTCCGGCATTTTCTCTCTGTGGCTGCAACATTTTTTAAAGTAGATGGACCCCTAACAGGATTTTAGTTAATTATGAATACATTTTTATCATCATTTCTTCTGCAAAATTTGAAACATTTGCATATTGTACAAATAACAAGATGTTATGTGGTCATATTTAAAGCCTGCTAAGTAAATAATTAAAATTATTATGAAGCTATTTTTTAAGGGGATCATCATAGGTACATTTCCGCTACATCTAGCAAAACATTTTGAAGAACTGAAGTACCTTATGAACTTGAAAAATTGACAACAGGGGACAAACTCTCACATTATACATTATAAGAAGGAATTATTTTCTAAATTATACCTAATTGTCTTTTACAATACCATGTTGTGTCTTCCACGATACATAAGCATTCCAGAACAGTGCCACACATTGAACCAACAATACTTGATAGTTTAATGGAACTAAATAAAAATTAACTATTTGGACTGCTGGCCAAAGTTTATAATTTGCAATTAAAATGTCTGTGTATTTAAGCTTCAATTGTTCTTTGGTAAACTCTAAATTTCGGCCTTGTATTGTGTTTATAGTAGAAATTAGAGCTATTTGAAATGGGGGAACAAAAAGAAGTTGATCTGCTGCCACTTTTTTTAAAGCTACAAACTTGCCTTTATCTCCTAATTTTTTTGAAAGGTATCTGTACCACACTGTTATTACTGGACCCTAAAAATGAAACCAAAATAACAAGTTTTTAACTAAACTATCATGAAAATATATATAATTATATACACAAAAATAGATCACTTAAGATATTACTTCTCACAGAAGATAAAAAATTCTAAGTTAAAAAATACTGAATAAATCAGTATCAGATCCAAGACGGTGGGCGATCACACTCCTCCAAGGCCAGAGGAGCTTTTACTATATCCTATCAAAGAGGCAAAATAAATAGTTTACACAAATTGTGAGATCAAAAAATTCCTGGATAAATAAATTCTGTATGAAGACTACATAAAAATACTAGGAACATAAACTTTATTCAAATTTAACAAACTTACTATAAAACAAGATCCAAGTACTAAAAAACATCCAGTCCTATGAAGATCAATATTTTTTAGAGATTTTCTTTCAGCAACCACCTGTGCGATAACATCACCAGATCCACAAAGTATTCCACTTTGAACTGATTGCACCAGCACAAAATTAGTTTTTAACAAGCCATTGTAATATTTCATAAAGTTTTTAATAATATTCATTTTAAATTAGTACTTAATAGTATAATAGACTTTAAGCTGAAATACTAATTTTGTTACATGCAATAAATTTTAAATTTACAGATGTTTTTGATGAAAAATTAAGGAGTGAGTACACAATTGGGCATTGTTAGGTTAGAGTGCCCGCAATTGCGAAATGCCCACACAATTTTATAAGATTATACTTTAAAAGTTAAGAGGGTTAGGTCAGGTTAGGTTTTTTAAATTAATTTACTTTACAATACAATTTACTTTATAATAATAGAAAATTATTTAATTTTAACCAGTGTTGCCATAGTTATTCAAAATTATATTTTCTAATGAGAAATAAAAATTTACCTTAAAATTGGACATTAAAATGTCCAATTTTAAGGTAAATTTTAAGTTAATTTTATTATTACCTACTTTTAACTGAAAATTATTTTTTTACAAGGGTCAGGTTAGATTTGGTTACGTTACTTTATGTTTATTATCATATTTTCTTACGAAAAAAAAAAAATTTTGATTTTTAATTTGTACAAATTTGTGTTTGCGGTGTTGCCATATCACAAATAAATCACGAAAGAGCATGCAATATAATATTAATTAATATTACTAAACATTCATTTTAAGTTTTTAAAAAAAGTTTAATTAATTTAATTTAATTTATTATGATTTAAATTAACTTTAATTTTCAGCTTTTATTCAGATACCATTTCATCCCAAAATTATAAGAAAATATTCATAAAATTGAAATCTGCTAAACAACTGTTGCAATCTGGCAACTACTTTTGACAGCATTGCCAAGTTTATTTAGTAATCTACCAAAGGCCAATTATAATTATTTTTTCTAATAACTAACTGCAACTAATATCAAAAGAAACAAATATTCATTCGTTCGTGTTTTATATGAATTTAATTTTTTTTTTTTAAATACCCGATTTTATAAAATAATATAATAAAAATGAACTGTTTCAAAGCATATTTGAGGCATAAAACATATATATAATAAAGACATGGCAATATCGCAAACACAAATTTGACATGACGTTTATGCCAAATTCATCGTTCATCGGCACTTTCCATAGATAAATAATATAGTATATGGGCTATATGGCACTTTCTCTTCTCTATACTTTTGAGAATGTTTTAGTCATCGAGTTGCGAGTTGTTTTAGTTAAGTTTTTTATTAAGAGGTGTATATGAGTATACTTTTCTTTTTTTATGTAAATTTTTTTGGTTCATAATACTTTTTTTGGGCAGACCCAATGACGTATAATATATAGACTACGCAGTCCCCTATTCTCGCTATAGAATCGAGTGTCCGAAAGATCTCGGCTCAAGGTTGAAGGTATGTTTATCACAACAGCGGCGTGCTCATTTATATGTTAATGACAATAATTATTTTTTAATTAAAATTAAATATTTATGATTTCTTTTTGTTTCCATCTATAAGAGAAATAATTATTTTGATAAAATAGTATGGCATTTTACTAAAATAGTAAGTAAATAACTCTCAACAATTTAAAATAAAATTTGCTTGTCACACAAAATGGAGAAAATTATTTCATACGTCCATGATGTTTCAAACACAAGATCAACTTCGTGATGCTTCGTAAGAAATCATGAACTTCGTGCATCTTCGTATCAAAACAATAAACAATAACAAAGGTATTCATGTTTTGGACACTTTTTAAAGCGTTCACCGAGTCTATATATTATACGTCATTGGGCAGACCTATAGAACAAGTGCCGAGGAACTGACAGAAGATTAGCGACAGATCTGTATTTGGCAGTGTTGCCATATCACAAATAAATCCTGAAAGAGCATGCGATATAATATTAATTAATGTTCAACATTATTTTTAACTTTTTGAAAGAAGTTTAATTAATTTAAATTTAATTTATTATAATTTAAATTAACTTTAATTTTTTAAGCTTTTAAATTCTTAAGTTATTAAATTTAATTAAATATCTTTACCGATATATTTTTACTTTGTTATTCACATTTTAAGGATTAAACTGTCAATAATGATAATTTAATCTCTGCAACGTAAATTTGAAAAAATATCGATCTGAACAAGCTCCAGTAACTAGCTCATACATTAACAAAACGATATTCAGGTACTATTTCACCCCAAAATTATAAGAAAATAGTCATAAAAATCATAAAATGAAATCTGCTACACATCTGTTGCAATCTGGCAACTACTGTTTTCAAAATTTTGACAGTATTGCCAAGTTTATTTACTAATTTACCAAAGGCCAATTATAATTTTTTTTTCTAATAACTAACTGCAACTAATATCAAAAGAAACAAATATTCATTCGTTCGTGTTTCATATAAATTCAAAAAAATTTAAAAAATATCCGATTTCATAAAATAATATAATAAAAATATACTGTTTCAAAGCATATTTGAGGCATAAAACATACACATAATAAGGACATGGCAATACTGCAGAGACAAATTTGACATGACGATTATGTCAAATTTTCGGCACTTATTCCTTATTCCAAAGAATATAGACGCTTAGGTTAGGTTAGGTTAGAAAAATTTTGAAATTTTTTACAAATGTTTCGTTAATTTTTGGGCAGAAAAACAGTATAATAAAAAGTTATGTGACGGTGTTTCGTAATGTAGAATATGTGTATGAATATTTTTAATTCAAAGTTATGAAATTAAAAAAATAAATACTTTGAATATTGTAAATATCATACATTTTTAAGTTTTAAAATTAAAAATTTAACAATTTAATATATTAAAATTAAAGATTTTATTGTGAAAAAAACAAAAAAAAAGACAGTTTGCAAATCAATGGCATCGAAATTTGTTTAGGCGTAGATGCAAAGTTACATAAATAGCTCGGTTCGTACCATAGATAAATAATATAATAGTAGAAATAGATAGGCAACTCAATGTATAAATTTCGTTCATTAGGACCCCTTGCGGCTGGGGTCAATACTAATCATCTTTTGGCGGCAAATTCGAATAAACACCCCATACATACATACCCTGTAGCGCCTCTTTGTGGGCTATTTCATTACTAATTAAAATTTATTGGAAAATAAGAAAAGATGCACATTTTTTTCTAGATATACGTATATTTATTTGTTGTTTAAGATAAAACAGTTATAAAATAATTACATAATATTTATTACACATATTTGCAGAAGTTAAATACTATTATTTTTTGCTTCCTGATAACTTACTATCATCCTTTTTGTAATTTTTCTACGATTTGTACACAACGAACAATACGATAATTCACCATGTTTAGTTTTGTTACTATACACTATAATAGCACTACACAAAAATTCTTTGCTACAATAGGTAGCTCAAAATAAACTTTAAAAAATAAGTAACCAAATTTAAATTAAAATTACTAAGAATAAATGCAAACGAAAGTTAAAGATAATAAAATAAAATTGAAAACTTGTAAACAAATGGAAGATCTGTCATTACTTTGGATTGACAGAATTGACATTGCGTCGTTTGATTATTTTATTTGGTTTATGATTGGTTAAAGTCTTCGTGAGAGAGATAGGCTGTCATTTCTCTTTATTAACTCGCTGGGGTCAAAGTGATGGGGGAATGAACCAAGTCCTTCATATAAGATTCCAGGCCATGGTTCGTACTCCTTTTCCACTTCCCCCTAACTACATATTTCATTAAGCCGACGGCCACGGCACCACGCTTTGGGTTTATGCAGCCACCCTCTTAAGGAGTGTTTTGACTTTTGACGTATAAACCGTAACCAAATGGCCCATTTGAACTGCTCTTCTATAAGCGTCTATATTCTTTGCTTATTCTATAGATTTGCCTTTTTTTGTTATTTTTTCTGTATTTTTTTATTATTTGGGCGCTTTTACTAGTCATAGATAAAATTACACCTAGATTGGTAACAGGGATAGGCAATGTCAAATCACGTTCGGAGTTAGGCGCCCATACGCCCATTCTTATGGTGGCGCTGCTAGTCTATTTTCTACGCGTAGGGAGTGTGCTGTGGTCAAATCAAAAGTTGAATTTAGACAAATACGGTACGGCGCCATATTTGTATTTGTTTTATTTTTATAATTTATTTTATAGTTTAAATTTTTTTATATAAGTAGTGCAAAAAGGTAAAATTTTAGACGATTTTTTATTATGGAATCGAACACATTACATGGAATAACAATGTAGAGACGAAGTACTGAACAAAAAAGATGTATTCCAAATTGCATGGATACTAGGCAAGCATTAGATAGGTATGTTTGATAAATGGGTGAATGCTGTTAAAAGCCCTAATTAGAGAATGCTGCAACAGAAACTATTTATAACAATTTTCGTGTATGCGCTAGTCATTTTAAAGAGGATGATATAATTAATGTTGGACACACCGCTATTACGAGAACAGCCCTTCTGAGTTTGTTTTTACCAGCACCGGGTAAGAACTATTATGCCAATATATGTATGTATGTGACCTTTTACTTATAAAATTGGTTAATTATAAATTTAACCTAAAATTATATATTATAAAATCAGTCTTACTTGCTTACTATTTGAATTATTTTGTAGGTGGTGGTTCAACAACTATCTTAACAATCATCACCTTAGAGAGGGTTCGACATAATTTCTACAGGTGTGCGCCTTTCAAAGTTGGATTAGATTAGCAGACCATGACTACACTATCATATGAAGAGGTCTATGAGCTTGCCTGTTAAGTGCGAGGAGGAATCTGTCTCTCTCTTGTAAGTGAGATTGGTCTTAGAGTACCATATTACCATGGTTTGTCTCATCTATGTACTTACTTTTAATGTTCCATTTTGTAGAACAACCTAAATCTAAATGTATTTAATATGTCTCTCAATAATTATATAAATATTCAAAGCATGTGGTGTTCGTGTGTATTAAGGTATAAAAACGCTTATTAAAAGCTTAAAATTTTTTATTATAAAGAAGATCTTTTCGGAATTGTATCATTCCATCATCAGTTTACTAAAAGAGAGAGTAAAAATACCAATATTAAAAACAACAAAGTTAAAATTTGAACATACAAAAAGAGAAAGTTGGTTTTTTACTACTTACATAAAAAAGGTTGTTAAAAAACATTGTGTGGCCACATAAAAAACATTCGGTGGACATCTGGATTTAAAAAATAATATTCTTCGTGTTATTTATTCAGGTAAATGCAATAGACCTTTGCATATGCAATAGACCTTAATACTAAGACAAAACAATTATTTAAATACTGGTTCTTGCCACAACATTAAGAAAACTAAATTATAGTACACTTGGCTTGTATTATTAATATTTCTTGTAACACATATAACATTTCTTGTAATATTTTTATAAATAAAGATTTTATTCTATATTTTATTCTTTAATTTTGTTAACCACTTTGGCATTTTAATGTAATGTAAAATAAATATAGTCTCAACATAACAAGAAAACCCAAAAAGTATACGAAAAATATTTATTATCGTATAGGATAAGGATTTTTCTTGTTATTTTAGGATTATATCGATTTTCCTTTACTTTAAAATGAGTTCACAATCCTAGGTAATATTACTAAGCTTTTGAATTTCGCGCCATATATTTATAGTTAGGCGCCCGGTCACTAGGTGATGCGCCAATCATTGTTTTACTCGTCAACACGGAAGTTTCAATGCTAGGTGGTAGTGTGCTATGTTACTAGTTTACTAAGTTTGCAGCAAAGAAAACATTAAAATTTGAGGCTTTTTTTTCACTTCCACAAGTCCACAAAATTGGGCATTTTTGAGGCGTTCTGGCTTCTAAATAATAATCAATCATTACAAGAAAACCAAGACCAGGATTTATTATGTCTTCCTCTAATAAACCATAAATACAATGAACCATAGACACATAATACAAGACCTTACAATAAGTATTAACCAAAATTTGTATTTTTATTAGCTATGGAAGTAAAAACTGAAATTTAGGAAAAGTTTGTAGAAGGTGATCTAAGATATATAAAGAAACAGTTATCCTTATCCAATAATCTTGGAGATATGAAGAATGAACCAGATGACAATTCAGGTAATTATATTATAAGTGTAACAGTAATTAAAATAAGTGCTAAACAGTGTGATCTAATTTATATTTATTAGCTATGAAAAAGAAGGCTGAAATTAAGGAAGGGTCTATTGAAGGCGATCCAAGATATATAGACAGTAATTTATCTACATCAACATGTCTTGAGGATCTGAAGAATGAACCAGAAGATTCAGGTAATACAAGTAAAAAAAATAGGGTACTAGTATTATAGTAAGAGGGTATGATGTGAATTCTGCTTCAATTACTGATTATTGTACAATGATTTTTATTGTACGGAAAACATTCTTTTTTATATAATTTCCATTTAAAATAATATGTCTTATTTTTCCACCATTATAATATATGCAATGAAACAACAAAAATGACATGAAAAAAAAAATTAACAGATTTTTAATAAAATATTTTAACATTTTATTCTTAATTACCTTTAACAAAAAATTACTACTTGATAGCAGGGATCCTTGCAATACCAACCCGCTGTTCCCCCAGTGCGATAGAGAAAACTAAAATATGTCAATAAATCTGGCCCATTAGAAAGATATGCAGAGACTACTTTGCATCAGTTTTCTCTGTTACACTGGGGGAATGCCACTGTATTGCAGCAGTCAGTCTATGTGTATTATATGCCTATGGAGGTTTGGTTAAGTCAGGTTATTCTAAATATTTTATTCTTAACTACTTAAAAAAAAAATACTGGTTTGTTAACAGGTTTAGGATAGATTTGGTTAGTTTTGGTTACATTAGGTTGGATTAACACCTTCACTGCGCCACCAGTTGAAAAAGACTGGTAACTACGTTTTTTTTCAGAAATTACAGCTAAAAATAAATACATGTTTATATTTCCATCTAGCGAGTAAACATACAAACGAAACACGTGGGTAAAAACTAACATTTTAGGTACCTATATTATTATCTGAAAGAGATCTATCTAATAGAGGGATTATTTAGTACCAGTTGTATTCGAGTGGTAATGCATATGTGTTATTTATTTTTCATTGTTGGATTCCAGAAGAATTCATCTGGTGAGTAATTTAATTTGTTATCTCGGTCGAGCCATAATAGTGTTTAAAGTATTTGTATAAGAATTGAGTAAAATGAGTAGCACTGTTAAATTAGTAAATTTGGAGTTGCAAAATGCAACTACAAGTGGTAGTTGTGTATCATAAATTGGACCGGCACCAAGAAACAATTATAAATACTTTGAGCAAATCAGAGGAAGAACCATTTAGCTACAATTTGGACTGTGATTCTAATTACGCTCCTTATGAATGTTCAACTAATTCTATAAGCTAAATTCTATAATTCTAGTTGCTAAATAAGCTGAGGGAAACAATGAAAAGTAAAGAAACTGATAAAAAAGTCATTAACGTTACTACATCCTGTAGCCTCCTCCTGTAGTCCTCCCATATGAGAGGAAAAACCTGGTTTATGTTTTCCATGTCCTAATTTTAAACACAATGCATAAATTTTAAAACTTATACTTACTAATAATAATTAGCATTTGTTATTTTTGTAATACTAATATGTATTTTGTTCTCAATAAAAATTTTGGTTTTATTTTACTTGAAAATATTATTTATTCACTTCTTAAAGATTTCAGTTTTTGCTTTACCAAAAGCAGCTGTATCAGCTTTACTGATACAGTTTCCAGCAAGTTTGTATATTCCTTGTATGTATGTATAAAACTATTACTACACATAAATCTTTAACAATTTAGAGATTGATCGTACTCACATTTCTTAAGAACTACCAGTCTATTGCGACTGGTGTATCTAAATACAGAATTCAATAGTACCAGTCAGTTACAACTGGTAAGCCTACAACATAATTGAATTTTTCGTAATCGCAGCTAAGGTGTTAACAGTTTATTCTTACCTACTTTTAACAAAAATGACTGGTTTGTTACCAATTTTAGGTTAGATATGGATAGGTTAAGTTTCATTAGATTAGGTTTGGTTGGTTTGGGTTCTTTCAAATCAAATTCTTAGGTATTTTTAAAAGTTAAAAGTAACAATAGTGTTGTTGAGTGTACATAAAATTTTACTTTGTGTGCATTGTGTATATCAGCCATATTGTTTAAAGATTAAAACAAGCGAGATTAAAAATCTTGATTGCTTTAAAAAATATTATGTATTTTTACACAAGTTAATAGTAAAAATCACTGATATTTATTATTTTTGGTCACTTTTACTAGTTTCCAGCAAAGAAAACATTAACATTTGAGCTTTGCTTTATTTTTTCAGCATAATTCACAATAAATTAGGTATTTTTAAGGAGTATCCTCTTACTATATAATTACCAAAATGAGTGCTAAACAATGTGATCTAATTTACCTATATTTATTAGCTATGAAAATAAAGGCTGAAATTAAGGAAGAGTTTTTTGAAGGTGATCCAAGATTTATAGAGAGTCAGTTATCCACATCCATATATCTTGAGGATCTGAAGAATGAATCTGAAGATAACTTAGGTAAGACAAGGGATTATTGTGTTATTTGTTTAGTTGTCATCTCAATATCTTCTGATTGCCAGTATATGGGAAATGAGTCAATACTCACAATCTTAAGTTATGTGTTCTGTTCATTTTAATAAATCCCGAAAGAGCATGCGATATAATATTAATTTAATTAAACATGGAAAACATAAAATGGTAAAATAACGAGAAAAATAATATATAAATCACTAGAACTATTCAAGTTAGAAAGTGAATAAGAAGTTAAATTCTGCTGTAATGATTTTAATATATATTTTTACTTACTTATACTACAACTGTGTCCAATGGACACACCTTTTCCGGATAAGGATTAATGTAGAGATTTTTTTTTGTTTTCATTATTGTTATAGCTGTTGTCAGAATATGATATTAAAACTTTTGTACATGAAAACACAAATACAATTTATTAAAATTTGTATAACTTTGAACAGCTGTTATATTAAATCTTTTCTTTTATTTTAGGGTCTCTTGGAGAGGAGAACACATTGGAAGTTATGGAAACAATATCCCTATGTACATATAACAAAGGAAGTGTGATTCAACCAGATGAAGAAAAAAAATGTGAAATTTGTTTTAAGCAGTTTACTAAAGTATATAATTTGAAACAACATATCAGAATTCACACTGGTGAAAAGCCTTACAAATGTGAAATTTGTTTTAGGCAGTTTTCTCGATATAATCATTTGAAATGTCATTTGGAAACTCATAAAAAGCCTTACAAGTGTGAAATTTGTTTTAAACAATTTAGTGAAGCAGAAAAATTAAAAATACACTTAAATATGCACACTGAAGAAAAGCGTTACAAGTGTGAAATTTGTTTTAGGCAATTTAGTCAAGCAGGAAAATTGAAAAGACACTTAAAAATGCACACTGGAGAAAAGCCTTACAAGTGTGACATTTGTTTTAAGCAATTTAGTGAAGCAAGCGATTTGAAAAAACACTCAAGAAGGCACACTGGCGAAAAGCCTTACAAATGTGAAATTTGTTTTAAGCAATTTACTCAAGCAGGAAATTTAAGACAACACTTAAGAGGACACACTAAAGTCAAGCGAGAAAAGCCTTACAAGTGTGAAATTTGTCCTAAGCAAGTTGCTCATGCAGGGAATTTTAAACGACACTTAAAAACACACAGTAAAATCAAGTGAGAAAAGCCTTACAAGTGTTAAATTTGTTTTAAACAGTTTTACGAAGTCTCTGCTTGTAATTGTTGAACGTCTATTATATATTGAGCTAAAGGAGAAGCTTTAGAAGCGATAAGCACTGTGGATAAATATATAAAAGTTTATAGTGGAGAAAAGTGTGAAATTGTTTTAGGAAATTTATTGAAGCATTTAATTTGAAAACACACTTAAAAATGCACACATTACCTGTATAAATAGACGTTCAAATTAAGGAAGAGTTTGTTGAATGTGATCAAAGTTATATTGAGAGTCAGTTGTCCACATAGAGATATCTTGAGGATCTGAAGGATGAATATGAATATAACTCTGTAAGATAAGGAATTATTTTGTTACTATTTATCAATTAAATCTTTTATTTTTTCAGAAATCTTTGAAAAACTGTGATTACCATAGAGATAACTAACAAATTTTACAGAGAATTCTCACCTCCATGCCAAAAAAGTGTCTGATCTGAAAGATCTTTCTAGTGGCGGACTTTAAAAATGAAATACTTAATTATAATTTTAAGCATATTATATAATTTTATTAAATTATTGTATATTTTTCTAAAAATAAATAATTTAATTTAAAGTATCTTTTATTTTCCTATACTGAAATTTAATTTCAACCCTTCATAACACCAGCACTCCAAATTCCACCCATAAATAAAATAAAAATTGATTATTGATATTTACATTTCAAACAGATAATTACAAAATCCTCTCTCTCATATACTCTGAATTCGATTGTAATTGAGGATGTCTCTAATCTTTAAGAGTCTTCTTGTGGCTTGGTAGGAGAACTATCTTGTCCCGTTCTCAGCCACTGGAGCCTATCTCGAATGGTTATCCGTCTCTATGGATGGAATCTTCTGATTGGATTACGTTTCCTCTCATCGTGAGTTCAACTACTGGTGGATTTTGTTGCTGCGTAAAGATTAAAAATTTTTATCTTCCGTTTATCCGTGAATTCCGAAAGTCTTCTTTTCCTCATACATTCGGGGTGAAGGTATACAAACTCTGTTTGTATGGAGGTTATACTTATGATCTACAAATTTATTGTGTATGTCAGTTCCGTATAGTGTTGTGTTTAGTTTAGCTAATAACTAGATGTTGGACGTACTATATACACAGACAATTTTTATACTAGCTTTACATTAGCACATAGGTTGCTAAACAAAAATACAAATTTGGTGGGACTTTGAGGCAAAACAGGAAACTTAATACGAAAGAAGTGACAGGTGTAAAATTAAAGAAAGCGGAGAGTATTGGGATGGAGAGATTACTAACACAGGTGTAGTAGTAACTAAGTGGAAGGGCAAACACGAAGTGCTTATGCTGAGTACAAAGCATACTGCTGAAATGGTAGACGTCCATCAAAGGGGAGAAATTGTTGAAATGCCTGTTTCTGTAGTCGACTATAATAAGAGCAAAGGATTTATAGATATATCGGACTTACTCTATAGCATTACGAAAATCAGTGAAATGGTATCGTAAAATGGCAATTGAGCTCCTTCTAGGGTCAGCTATTGTCAACGTCTATATAATTTATCAAAAAGTAACCAACAGTAACGTGTCCATCACATATTTCAAGGAAGAGTTGGTTTGTCAACTTGTAGATTTCACTAGACTAACTAATCTAGAGCAACATATGCAACATGCTCGTGAAGGTCACCGTATGAAGGAAGTGCAAAGTTTGACCAGAAGAAGATATGTCACATGTTACACAAAAAATTCAGCAGATAATGGTAGACAATTTACACAGACTAAAACTCCCTTTTCCCGTTTCAGGTGCATTCAGTGCGATAAATTTTATATCACATGTTTTTATATACACGTGTATCACGTGTTTTTACGAGGTTCATTCATGTAATCTATAGAAATTTGTATATACGAAAATATTATATTTTTCATTTATTTCTTAACTAGAAACATGTATTGCAAATATTTAAGGAACATTTACTGATCTTTTGCATTGCAAAAACAGTTGTTTACATTATATATAAATAAAACTTAGTTTCAAGCTACATAATAACATATTGTTTTATTGCTAGACACTAGTAACCTAAAAATGCAGGCTAAATATATAAAAGAGTTCATAAGGCCACTGAGAAACTATATTGCAAATAAATGAATGGGTACTGCGAAGCGCGGATGTACCACGTAGCCTGAAATACACTAAGGGTATGAGATGCAAAGGTGCTTCTCATGGCGTCAGTAAGTTTAGTAAGTAAGTGTAATGGTACTTTACATTTTTCGCACAAAAATTGAACCTTTTACTTGCAAAGTCCGCAACGAGATTGTTTTTCTTGATAAACAATTAAATGGTTCATACCATCATATCTTGAATGTACGAACGTGTTGGGATTCCGTCCTGTTAGGCCGCGTTTGGTATTTTTTTGTAGGTTTCCAGAAGTTTACAAGCTATTTACCTTCTAAATTCAAGCTGACCAAGACTTCCTCCGTCTTTTCGATCCAATTGCCACGTGTTTTGAACAGCCATGTCAATTCCATGTACTATTAACGGAAACAACCATTTTTCTCTCTTATAGAGATCCGGTAAAGACTAATGTTTTGGTCACAACGGTCTACGACACCCATAAAAGAATTGTATTGCTTTATCATATTTGGTTGAGAACCAAATATATGTTTCTTCTTATGGGAAAACCGTTTGACTAGGTGGTGTGGTTTTACTGAACAAAAGTTAGATGCAATTGTAACATTGGTGCAACATATTGATGCAAAAGTGGTAATTGGTGCTATGGATAAGGAATGTTCGCATTGTCATGCTCTCAAATTCAAAAATGAGCCACCTGGGATGTGTTGTGCGTCAGGAAAAGTGTAACTACCTGAACCATTGAATGGTTTACTTATCGGCACGGATCCAGATTCTAACGTATTATATATCCAGACGCCAACAATTTAAATTTGAAGATACAACAGTTGTTGCCAGGGAACTTGGTATCATACAAATCTATTGATACAGTTTGCGATGTCAGCGAAGCTGTCAATTTTCCCAGAGAATTTTTAAACTCACTGGATTTGCCAGGCATGCCACCGCATAATTTACAATTGAAAGCTGGATCTCCAATTATCTTGCTTCGTAATTTAAACCAGCCACGGCTGTACAACGGTACGCGATTAGTCATTCGAAAATTGATGAAAAACGTTATCGAAGCCAGCATTTTAAATGGCAAGTTCAAAGGTGAAAATATATTAATACCACGGATTTCTATCATACCTACAGATGTGCCAATTCAATTCAAACGAATTCAGTTTCCGATTAGATGGGCATTTGCAATGACAATCAACAAATCCCAAGGCCAAACGATGTCTATTTGTGGCTTAGATTTGAGTACACCATGTTTTTCACACAGGCAATTGTACGTAGTATGCTCTCGAGTGGGTAAACCGTCCAGTTTGTTTGTGCTCACTAAAGATGGGCTAACAAACAATATTGTTCACGATATAGCATTAAGAGATTGATTTTGTTTGTTAGGGTTACTATCGTAATTAATATGTGATATGTAATTATAAGTAATAAACTATAATAACTTGAAAATAATATTGTTTGGCGTTTGTTATTTTTATATTCCCTTATCGTTTATAGCGCTCCTCGCCCATTTCACGCATATACCACATACTTACACACTTATAATAAGTAAGGAACTTTTTGTCTACACTAGAATTTATCTAGAAACGAGAAATAATTTATAAGGCAAAACAGCGTTTGCCGGGTCAGCTAGTTTTTATATAAAATACCACCCTGCGCGCCGCCCAACATATCTCTTAAGTATTTTCCTTTGTTCAGAATAATAATGTACATATACATAAGTCAAATTTGAAGTAGGCATTAAGATTAATGATAAAAAGTGATATTTGTTTTTTGGGTATGAAATAAAACAGCATAAATGGAACAAAACTTTCATTCAACCATATCCAAGCATTATATACGTCCATACAATAAATACTTATACTAAATTTAAAATTATATGATTTATTAAAATACTTGAAAAGCAAAAGATATTTTCAGATATTATTTTACATCACATATACTGTACATTTGCATTAATAAATATATATAAAGATCCAGACGTGTTCAAAAAAACTACGTTAAATAGTGTAGTAGAATGAAAGATATATGCAACATTATTTATTAGAAGAGCTGTATACCAATATTGGCTTAATTTTTCAAAGTCAAATTCTTCCAAATTTGTGATAATCTCTAATCTAGTTTATCACAAAATCATCGATTTTTTCAGATTTGAAAAAAATTATTAATTCAAGTTTCGTTCTGTCCATTATTGAGCGTTTCAAAGTCGTACTCCTTTACTAAAGAGGTGCGGGTTTTTTACTTTAAGAGAAACAGCAGTGTTTGGTATCTCTATTTCAGCGTGATAAAAACATGAAAAACGTCTGGTAAAACGAGTTATTTGGTTTGTCCTCCTTCACAATCTGCATTAAATATTATAAACAACTAAATATGTGCTATATACATAATTACATGGTTGAAGAGTTGTCATAAAAATTTAAATTTAAACTGCTAAATTTAAATATACATTAAGTAAAAAATAGACTTGTTGGTAGAACTATTAGGATTATAAAAAATATATTGAATATATAATAAGTATATAAGGACAATAATAAGGAATTACATTAAATATTTTGATAAGATAAGATGATAAGATAAATGGGTTTCAAAATTGGTCGTTATACGAGTAGCATATAGAATTTTTTTAATGAAGCTATCCCACAGTGAATTTAGTACGAAAATGATCATAATTTATATAATGTTTGGCTAAAGGAAGAAAAATATGAAATATTCCTTTGGTATAATTATACGATCTATACGAAGAGATGTTATACAAAGTCTTTCATTCGTGACAGCTTATTATTTCGATTATTCAGGAAAAACTGAAAAGCTTAGAAGTTAATTTTAACATTTGTTCATAACATACTGAAAGGTATCTATTTAATTTTAGGAGACAAATAATAGATTTATTTTTTCCGTAACTTTAAAGTAGCGGAAAAGTAACAGAAATGTCTAATAGTCCATTTAGTTTAAGTACAATAATAGTCTATTGGAAATATGTATTCAGACAGTACATTTCCAACGACATATCGGCCTGTAAAATTCATTATATTTACGGGCGCCACTATAAATCCTACCAACTGATTTGACCCCTTTAATAAATAAAAAAACAACATATACTTAAGTGTCAAAAATATCTGACAACTCTTCGTAAAACAGTGCTTTTCTTTAGGTAAAATATTGTTTCAAAAATTTTCAAGTCGTCTACAATCATTTTGATTACAAGAAACTCATAGGATAGTGTCGTAGATCTAATACTTTGTGAACAAGTTCTTTAGAAAACCCGCAGTTTACAGTCTTGTAGCGTCTGCTAGTAGTTGTGCTACTTCTTTCAAATGTTGGTTTTTGCTACCGGTGGCGGTACTGGCGGCGCAGGGTCTGCCGATGTAGCTGTAACAAGAGATGAGCATATAGAAAGGATATAAACATGATAAATCTTCTAGACTACAAATATATTGCCATTAGTCCAAAAAATTAAGCCAACACTAAAATTAAATTCTTCAACTAAATAATATTAAAAAAAGGAAAATTCAAGCAACTTTAACTGTAATAATAGGGGAAAGTTGCCCATATTGAACCATCTCCTAATTTAGACCAATGCGATTTGTATTTTGATTTTAAGTTAATATATTGTGTGTAATATGTTATAGTTATTCTTAAGTTATTTGCTGATCGCGTTATTTTTTAGATTTTAGTTTAAGTGTTTTTAGTAATAAGTTTGATAGCCTGTAGTGAACCTTTAGTATCCAAAAAAAGTATGTTAATCAAAAGTAAAAATAGCTTGCGGTAATCACTTTAATAAAGGTAAGAGAAACCAATATTATAATTTATTATGTTTTGAAAAGTTTTATTTCCTTTCTAGTCCATTTATTCACGGTTTTTGCTGTAAATTATAAAGAACCGCTTGGATTGACATGAAATTTGCCATATACATAGCTAAATTATCCTGCAGTTAAATGTTTATGTGCTTTTTCACTTAAAGTAAATTTTAAAATAATAAAATTTTCAAGAAAAGGAAAAAGACTAATAATCTGGCATTGGCACTGGCATTGACTTTGGCAATGAAGATGGGTTTGTTCCAGAAGGGCTGTGGGTGTTTGAATAAGAAATAATAAATATGAATGATATAATGAATAATAAATATATCTGGGAGGAGGGGAGAACTGTTTGTCTCAAGTTGGTCATTCAGAATTATATCTGTGTTTTTTAATTTGTTGATTTCCATAGATTCTAACAGAGATAGATTAAGGCCTTTATTTTGAATGTGAAGAATTTTAAATTTGTCATTAAAAGAATGATTATGATCTAGAAGGTGAAGTGGGTATGTCGAATCTGTTTTTCTATTCTTGAAAGCCCTTTTATGTTCTGCTATTCGTTTATCAAAGTTTCTACCAGTTTGACCGATGTAAGTTTTTTATTTTGGCTCTTGTTATTTTTAATATATTTGCCTAGGTTGTTATTTGTTCGGAAAGCTGGTATTATTCCTTTCTTTTTTATGTGTTTGGCAATTTTTGTTGTTATTTTGCCTGTATATGTAATCGAGCAGAAGGTACTGGGTTTTTTCTCTGGTGGTGGAAATACTAATTTTAGGGCTTTCACAATAACTAACAGGCAACTCGACCAATTTATATCATATATTAATTCACTTCATAGTCATATTGAATTTACAATAGAAACAGAACAAAATCAATCCATAAATTTTTTAGATTTAAAAATTAGCAGACTTCAAAACAAACATGACTTCTCCATATTTCATAAACCTACCCATATTGACACGACTATACACAATTCATCATCCCATCCAACACAACATAAACTGGCAGCTTATCATAGTATGTTACATATATTAACAGAAATTCCTATGTCAAAAAACAACTTTGAGACAGAATTAAATATAATTAAACAAATAGCAGTAAACAACGGATAGAACGAACAAACACTTAATAAAATGTTAAATCAAAAACTACACAAGAAAGCCCTAAAATTAGTATTTCCACCACCAGAGAAAAAACCCAGTACCTTCTGCTCGATTACATATACAGGCAAAATAACAACAAAAATTGCCAAACATAAAAAAGAAAGGAATAATACCAGCTTTCCGAACAAATAACCTAGGCAAATATATTAAAAATAACAAGAGCCAAAATAAAAAACACTTAAATAGTGGTGTGTACAAACTTCAATGTGGCGACTGCCCAAAAACTTACATCGGTCAAACTGGTAGAAACTTTGATAAACGAATAGCAGAACATAAAAGGGCTTTCAAGAATAGAAAAACAGATTCGACATACGCACTTCACCTTCTAGATCATAATCATTCTTTTAATGACAAATTTAAAATTCTTCACATTCAAAATAAACACCTTAAGCTATCTTTGTTAGAATCTATGGAAATCAACAAATTAAAAAACACAGATATAATTCTGAATGACCAACTTGAGACAAACAGTTCTCCCCTCCTCAACCTATTTCATTAGAGACTATAAATTTGTAAACCCAAGCCAAAAATAGATAACTTGAGAAAGGCAATCAGCCGAAACAGCTGTAGTGATAAGATTTAAAATAAATTTTGTGGAAGTTTGAAAACAAAGTTTTCAGTGTTTTATTGTACATAAAATGAATTTCCATCAAGTAACGGTCGAATCCATCAATTATTTAATAAATATATCATTGATAAGATGGCAAAAAGCCTAAACAAATGTTTTTATCCAGATATTTAATGACTTGACTCATGTAAACCTGGTAGTAATACACATATGATGGGCTTTTTAGTCCGAAAACCTTCTGTGATGTCGCCCGAAAGGGTCTATTTAATTATATACCTTTTATAGAGGATTTTTAACTAAACCTTTTGTGATTCATGGTAAACAGCTAACTACAGGTATTTCATTTTCCTTGTGGATTTTCTATTGTAATTTTAAATCTGAAGTTATTAATGAAGAATTTAAATTTCGAAAGTTATTAATGCGAATTTATATATGTGTTCAGGTAATTGTTTAAGACAAGACGTTGCCAAATTTGGCAGGTGTCACTCAAAGGACTGATAAGTAAGCAAAATGTCAAAACTGATCCAATATAGGCAAATTTTCCCTATGCATGTATCAGCTCTAGTTTGATATTCCGATATTCTGATTAAGTGACAAATTATTAATTTGCAATGAGTAAAGGATAATTACTGAAGATGGTTGGTTCTATTCAACGATATAGCAATATATTTATGAATCTAATTTTCATTGCAGACTTAGGTACTTAAACAAAAACTAAATAATGGAAATTTTATAAAAATGTTTCACCATTTTCTGTCTAAAAGTTTGTTTCAGGGTCACCCTAAACACCGCTTTCCAATTGGTTTCCCTCTTATCTGTTCGAAGTAACACAAAAGACAAATTCCAAGGCAGAAAACTGAATATCTAGCTGTGTTTTCATGTACGGAGTAAATAAAAGTTATGTGGCATAAAATAAGTGGTTAAATAAGTAAAATAAATGTAAATTAAACAGTGCAAGGAAAATAACCGCAACCAAAAAGTACAGAAGCGTAGGCAGGCAGCAATAATGAAGATATGATTTTTGTTTCTGTTCCTCTCACCTTATTACCCTCGTATCGGGTTGTTCGATACTTTCTTGCGGTTCAGTTTTCACCTGTTTTTTTCCTCCAAACAATTTACCAAACCAACCCGAATCGCCCTGTTCCTCACTAAAACATTTTATCATGATTAACCAATGAGACACACAGTATGGCATAGACATAAAAATCATATCTTCAGTTTTTCAGCTACTACGTTTTCTTTTGCGTTTCAGAGATGGTTTTTGAGATAAAGATTTATTAGCAAAGCATTTAATACGAGAGGTGTTCTGTGAATTCTTAGTAAAATAAATACTAACATTTCTTTTATAAGAATAAATTTATAGCTTTTTATATTCTCGTTCATATAAAAATTTTTCCGCAACTCAATTTGAATTTTACTATGTATAAGACAAACTTTATTTGGTCATAGAAGAATATTACTCTACAAGACTGTCCTTAAGTCAATATTTTTATACATGTTGTTTTATTAATATGTCATCATCATCACGTAGCGCTACAACCCTGGGTGGGTCTTGGCTGACTGTACAACTTTTTTCCAATTTGTTCGGTCTTCCATCAACCTAGGGTCAAACGGAATGTTCATTTTCCGGAGATCTGCTTGGATGTTATCTCTCCATCGCATTCTGGAACGTCCGAGTGGTCTTTTGCCTGTGGGAATCCCCTCCCATACTCTGTCCACTGTTGCTTTCAAAGCTGTCAGACAGTTTATTATTTACACATACTTTAGATATTCCACCCTCCATACAGACTTTGGCCATCCGGATAAGTTTCTTTGGTATTGAGAACTCCGCCTTGGCATTCTATACTTGGCTTCTTTCTACGGTATCACATGCCTGTCGAAAGTATATGAAAAGATTGTGTATGGGTCTGTTATACTCCCATCCCTTTTCTAGAAGCTGTCTCAGCGTGAATAGTTTATCTATTGTTGATCTGTTTGCCCTAAAACCGGCTTGATATTCGCCTAGGACATTTTCAGCATAAGGGATTAGTCTACTAAGAATGATGTTTGAGAGTCCCCTTTTTTGTGGATGTGCACAATTATGTTTTCCTTCCGTCGTGCTGGTATCCTTTCTTTTAACCATATGTGCGTTATTAGCTGGTGGATTTGCCGATGTAGTGCGTCTCCCCCATATTTCAGAATTTCTGCTGGTATCTCGTCCGTACCCGGCACCTTGTGATTTTTATCGGGCATGTCCGCTGTGATGTAGATCTCTTCTTTGCGCTAGTTACAGTACAATGACCGCTACCATCCAGTAAATTCTACCACGTGGATTCCACACGGGACTACCGCTCGATCATTCTGGACTGAATTGCGACGTATTGGACTGCAAGATCAGCAATTATAAAATTATAAAAACACCATGTTAAAATCAATATTTTCAGTCTGATTTGTAGTTTAGTTTGATTTATAATTTAGTCTGATTTAATTTATTGTTGTTGCTACTAAAATCTTTGTAAGTCGAAAATAAAAGTTTTATTTGTGAAGTTCAGTTTTTAAAAAAGTGTTTTTCCCAAGAACATTCATAATTGGCGCAGAGTCAGTACGGAAGTGGAAGAGTCTTTATAGATCCTCGTCACTTTTAAGTGTTTGTCCACTGTTCCAAGAACCAGCCCCAGGGAAACCGTCTGCAGAGTTCACCCGAGGGAATTAGAAGTTAGAAGCCTTCAGGAGGAAAGAAATGCACATCGGCATCGTCTTTATCCTGTAAGCGATTTTTATTATTAATTAGAATTAAGAAGATTAAATTTTGAAAGAATTTTTATAAAATCAGACTCCTCTGAGTCCTTAGATTGAATCAGAGTTAGATTAGAAGATAAATTAAACAAAGATTTGAATATATTAACAGAAAGATTAAAATAATTTAAAAATATCTCCTCTAAGTCCTTAGATTGACTTTAGAGCCAGATTCAGAAACTTTAAAATTTAAAGACAAATTTGAATAGCTTAATAAATACTATATTAATAAACACAGAGATTTAATAGATACAAAATAAGTAGATTAAGATTGATATATTTATATATATATATTCTCTATTGAAAATTACTATACTGATTTGACTATTGACTATATTATATTGAATATTTTAAAATATGGCAGTTCCACAATTTGATGTTAAAAATTTATGCATTCTTCCAAATTTTGACGGAAATCCAAATGAATTACATGAATTTATCAAAGTTTCTACAATACTTCTCAACCATTATTATGATAGACTTAATGCAGCGAACATCCAAAACAAATTTTTGCTTCATGGTATTATGAGTAAATTAACAGGTAGAGCAAAACAAGTTATATCTGTATATGGATGTGAAAATTGGGACGAAATAAAAAACGCATTAATTCAAAATTTTGGAGACCAGAGAGACGAAAATTCGCTTACAAGGGACCTAGTAAATTTAAGACAAGGCTCAACAGAATCTATTTTGCATTTTTACGAAAAGATCATGGGACTTTTAAGCTGTATTAATAATTACCTAGAATTACATACCATAAATGCCGATATTAAGAGGAGCAAACAAGAATTTTTCCGTCAACAAGCTCTTACAACATTCTTAGCAGGCCTACGAGAACCAATGGGCTCTGTTATCAGAGCAATGAGACCAGGAAGTTTAGCCACGGCAATACAATACGTACAGGAAGAAAATAATGTTCGATACCTTCAAAAAAATCAATTAAGTCAACCTTCAACATCAGGAAGAAGCGAAAATTATCAAGAACGCCGACCTCAGAGACAACAGATGCCTGTACCTATCCAGAAACCATTGTATCAACAGCCAAACTTTTCAGCTCCGCAATGGCAGCAACCAACAAGACAATTCTACCCGCAGAATCAGATCCAGCAACCACATCGGCAACAAAACTTCAACCAATTTAGACAAAATTCGACGTTCAGGACCCAGAACCAGTCAAATGTATGGGCACCCAAAAATGGACAGTCAAAGCAGCCTAGACCAACACCTATGAGTGGAATATCAGAAACCACAACTAGAGGCCGTCAAAATTTCACACCAAATTACCGAGCACAGCCAAAATTCACCGTAGAAGAACTTTACAATATACAATGCCATGGAGATGAGCAAGAAGATAATTCCAACTACAATGATTACTACGAACCTGAATATGACAATTTCCTACAAGATACATACGAAAACCAACCAACCGAATATGAAGGAAACGTAAATTTTCGAGAGGACCCACCAGAAGCAATCGGAACGTAATTGAACTCCATTCATTTCCCGACAAGAAGGAGCTACCTTACATTGAAATTTCTAAACCTTCTTTACGGCTTTTAATCGATACAGGATCCACAAAGTCATTTCTCAATCCAGAAATAGCTTCTTCATATTTTCCAAGTTACATAAAACATGAACCCTTTGTCGTCACATCAATTTTCCAAAATTATTCCCAAAAATATTGTGCCGAAATTCCTTCATTTTCAGAATTTAATTCTGACAGCAAAATGAAATTTTATCTCTTTAAGTTCCACAAAACTTTTGATGGTCTTATTGGCCTCGACAATCTAAAACTCTTCGAAGCCCAATTAAACTTTCCCAAGTCGCTTCTAGTTACAAAAGATTCTACAATCCCAATTAAATATTACGAAACAAATAAAACACAATTTTATTCCATTCATTTGGAACCAAATTCTATTAGCCAAGTCAAAATTCCTGTCAAAGAAGAACACGGAACCATCATTATTCCAACCCAAAAAGTGCAAGGCGTCGTAGTACGAGAAGCCCTTACTATCGCCGAGAACCACCTCGCCTGGACCGAAATTGCCAACTTCACGTCAGACCCCATCCATCTTTCTCTTATGGAACCACTCGAAAGCAACAAAATAGACATTCAAGATTTCCATATATATTCCATGGAAACAACCTCCGGACCAGACTACAGACAAGATATTGACGACTTAATTAAAACCGAACATCTTAATGAAGAAGAAGAGGAACAAGTTCGTCACCTATGCCGAAAATTCTCCGATATATTTCACCAACCAGACACTCCTCTCAGCTTTACTAACGAAGTTAAACATCACATCAGAACTAAGGATGAAGAGCCTGTATATACGAAATCGTACCGGTATCCGTATGTACACAAAGAAGAAGTAAAGAAACAAATCTCTTCAATGTTAGAGCAAGGGATAATTCGACCAAGTCAATCGCCATGGTCTTCGCCCATTTGGGTCGTGGCAAAGAAACCAGATTCATCCGGTAAAATAAAGTGGAGGATAGTGGTAGATTATAGAAAGGTCAACGAGAAGACAATTGATGACCGATACAGAATTCCTCACATTAGCGATATTTTGGACAAATTGGGAAGATGTCAGTATTTTACGACCCTCGACTTAGCGAGCGGATTTCACCAAATCGAGATGGCTGAAGAAGACATTCCCAAAACAGCATTTAATGTTGAAAATGGACACTACGAATATTTAAGAATGCCATTTGGACTTAAGAACGCTCCGTCCACGTTCCAACGTATGATGGACAACGTATTGAAAGGACTTCAAGGAGAAATATGCCTCGTCTATATGGATGACGTAATAGTTTATTCTACATCACTACAGGAACACATAGTAAATCTCTCAAAAGTATTTCAACGATTAAGAGAAGCCCGACTAAAAATCCAAGTCGACAAATGCGAATTCTTAAAAAAGCAAGTTAATTTTCTGGGACACGTAGTCACACAAGAAGGCATAAAACCGAATCCAGCAAAAATTGAAGCAATAGAAAAATATCCAATACCGAAAACAGCAAAAGAAATAAGAGGATTTCTTGGACTACTAGGATACTACAGAAAGTTTATTCGAGACTTCGCAAAAATCACAAAACCTCTAACAAAATGCTTGAAAAGGGATGCAAAAATCGAACATACACCCGAATTCGTAGAATGCTTTAAAACGTGCAGGAAATTATTAATGAATGAACCGTTATTGCAATATCCAGATTTTTCCAAACCGTTTAACCTCACAACAGATGCCAGCAACTTCGCTATTGGTGCAGTACTTTCCCAAGGACCAGTTGGCAGTGATAAACCAATTGCCTTTGCTTCCAGAACACTAAATGAAACCGAAACCAAATACTCCACAATAGAAAAGGAAATGTTAGCAATGGTGTGGGCAACTAAATATTTCCGACCCTACCTATTTGGAAGAAAATTTAAAATACTCTCAGATCACCGTCCTTTGCAATATCTATTTTCCCTAAAGGAACCCAACTCCAAACTAGTACGTTGGAGATTAAAATTAGAAGAATTTGACTACGAAGTAATTTACAAAAAAGGCAAAGCTAATACAAATGCGGACGCACTGTCTCGAATCGAAATACACACAAAGGAAACTAAGGACATCGATTCACAAATTAAGGAAGTCTTTGATGATTTAATAGACATGGAAGACGATGGATGGTCAACGACTAATAATCCAGATGCAGATCGAATAATCGACGAGATTGTAAAAGAAAAAGCAACAGAATTAATTCCAGAAAACATCATAGAAGATACTGTTGAAAACGAAGATCAAAACATCCCAGACGACACTGTTGAAAACGAAGATCAAAACATATACGAAGACGGAAAATGAAACAATACATACAGCAGTAGAAAACCCAGTTCTTGGTATACCTATTTCGGAAAAACCACTTAACTTCTATAATAACCAAATTATAGTCAAAATTGTCAACTACAATCCACGACCTCCAGCAATCATACAAACCTTTCCGAATAAAAGACGTTATCATATCCAGCTATCGAAAGATCAGTTAAAAGCTGATACCATAAAAATTTTTAAGGAACACCTCAACCCGAAAAAGAAATATGCAATTTTATTTGAAACAGAAGAAGAAATTTTTGCAGAGATTTGCGAAATTATTAGGAAAACTTTTAAAAACAACGCTTACGACTTAGTAAAATGTAATCTTTTATTGGAAGATGTTAACCTAGAAGAACAGCAAAAAGAAATTATAAAAAACTATCATGAAGGAACAACGAACCATAGAGGAATAGCTGAAACAGAAAGTCAAATAAGAAAACGATATTACTGGCCTAATATGAAGAAGGACATAGAAGATATCATAAACTTTTGCGATATATGTCAAGAAAATAAATACGACAGACTTCCTCCCAAACCGAAATTTATGGTTACACCAACTCCCACTAAACCACTGGAAATAGTTCACATCGATTTATTCCAGGCTGATGGACAGAAATTTTTAACCATAATAGACGCATTTTCAAAGTATGGACAAGCCTACCCAATAAATGGAGGAAATGCAATCAATGTACTCAACGCCCTATTAATTTTTATAACACATCATGGACTCCCAACAATGATAGTAGCTGATAATGGTACTGAATTTAAAAATGGAGTAATACAAGAATTTGTAGACTCTCACAAAATCTCAATCCACTATACGACACCAGAGAATCCGCAATCAAACGGGATGATTGAGAGATTTCATTCTACATTAATCGAACATCTTCGAATCTTAAGGAAGACCAAAGCAAAACTCTCGATAAAAGAACAAATGCTATACGCTATAATTGGGTACAATAATTCCATACATTCAGCAACGAAGTTAAGACCCATTGACATATTAAACGGACATATCGACGCAAAAGATCCCTTTGACGTTGACATACAAAAAGTAATACTGAACGATTATATTCAAAATCATAGAGATGTAACAAAGGAATTATACAAGGAAGTAAACCAACATATACAAGAGAATAAAAATAAAGTCATAGAAAATAGAAACAAAACAAGACAAGACCCTATTATGTATAAAACCCAGCACAAAAATCTATACACGAAAAACAGTTACCAGAAATAAATTACTTCCGCGATATTCCGCAAAACATATAAAAAGGAATAACAAAGTGACTGTAAATACATCAAAAGCTACAGTTCACAAGAAAAACATAAAACACCAACCTAAGTCAAAAACAAATTCTGAACCTTCCCCACAGGATCACCTTGACGATGGCAGAAGAAATGAAGATCAAGGACCTGAAAGACAATCCAGAAATAATTCCCCTCAACCTGGGACAAGCAAAGATTTATACTAGTACACACGATTTTATGCATTTTTAAGACTACTACCAATAAAGGAAGAATTATACATAATTGAAACCCAGTACGATGCAGTAACCACAGCAATTCAAAATAGACTTAGCCATCCGTATTTTAGCAGTTTACAAAATTTCGACCAAGCTCTTATATACCAATTAAAATCAGCTCAAGAAATATTCTCAACAAGTTACCACTATGGCAGACCAAGAAGAGGGCTAATTAATGGACCAGGAAGCAATATTTATCCTTCATTTTTCTGTCCTACATGATAATTTCTTTACTTATTATCATTTATTTTCTATACCTACCGCAAATTCTACTACAATCATTCCTCCTGAGCTATATCTCATCAATCTTCCGCCCAGATGCGAATTCAAAACCCCAATCCAGAGTCACATAAATTCAAGGACAATTAACCCGAAATTATGGAACCATAGCCATAATCGTTTTTGGATGACTCCTTTATATATCTTTATTACAATAATCTGCCTCTAAATATGTTACAGGTATAAAACAAATAACAAAAACCCAACTCCAGCCACGAAGCTCCAGAAGAGGCCAACCCAACAGTTCTGTTCGTCCCTCACAAAACTTCTTCAGGGGATGGAGTAGTTACAGTACAATGACCGCTACCATCCAGTAAATTCTACCACGTGGATTCCACACGGGACTACCGCTCGATCATTCTGGACTGAATTGCGACGTATTGGACTGCAAGATCAGCAATTATAAAATTATAAAAACACCATGTTAAAATCAATATTTTCAGTCTGATTTGTAGTTTAGTTTGATTTATAATTTAGTCTGATTTAATTTATTGTTGTTGCTACTAAAATCTTTGTAAGTCGAAAATAAAAGTTTTATTTGTGAAGTTCAGTTTTTAAAAAAGTGTTTTTCCCAAGAACATTCATAATTCGCTGTTCTTCCTGTATGATGTTTAGAAGGTCCCTAAAATACTCTTTCCATTCTTCAGTTACCTCTTTACCGTAGATTATCATACGGCCTTGATTGTCTCTCAGTGTATGGATGGAATTGGTTCTATGTCCTCTTTTCTCAGAGGAAATTGCTTTATAGAATTCTCTGGATCCTGGTTTGGGCCGGACATTATTATCAATATGTGTAAATATTTAAATTGCACAACTTGGTTATCCAAATATAAATAACAATTTTGCAAAGTCATCATTTCGGCTCCCTTGGCCTCATCAGACGGAAGGGGTAGGAGAATAAATCTACACATACAATAATTGTATGTATTATTATTGATTTCAATCCAATGTTTACAAAAATCACAATAGTACAGTCACTTCAAGCACTGTAATTTGGTAAATGATAATCCGAATGACATGAACATTGTGACAGTTACTTCAGGAAACGAAGCATTTAAAAATTAAATTACAGGGCGCTATTTTTTAACTGGAATATCTGTGGGAAGTCAATAGAAAAGACGTACCACCTCGTGAGTTTCGAAATTTTTACTGCGTCTTGGTTTTTTATTCACATTTAAGCAAAAAACTGATTTTTTCATTAATTTTAATATTGTGAAAAAACTACGCATTGTAGATGAAAACGTTTAACTTGTTTCTCTTGAAAATATTTGATCTTTAAAGTGAAATTTTCTAAATTAAAAAATGTTTATAAACAAAAAAGACATTGCAAATTAAATACGAAAGTGAGTAATACATTACTAAAAAACTTCAGAACAACTCCCGTACTAAGACACAGATTATATCTACTTACTTTAGTTTTTAAAATCAAATACTTACCTAATAGCTCTTTGTCCAGACAAAGTGGTCTCGAATCTTGGTTGGACATAAAACCATGCTCCTTGGTTCTTGTGTTCTTCTTGCAGCCAAGAAATCTGAGCATTTGGATATTTAGCACATTCTTGCTTCAACAAATCGAATGGGAAAGGAGTAAGCTAAAAAATAAAACAATCCGATTGAGTGGCACGTTTTTTGATTAATCTATAATGACAATTGAACGTAATAAACGTTACTTGTTTGATATTTTAGAGAGATTTTTAGTTTTGAGAGGGAAATTTTTTTTGTATCTCTTTCATCTATTTAAAGTAGAATTTTAGTTCATAAACACATTTTTTTTGTTCAATTTTTCTCAGGATTTTTTTGTTATATTAGGATTTGTCTTGTGTTCCCTTTTTTGGTGGGACACTTTAACCAACACCACGTAGTATTCACCATAACTGCCTATTAAAGGAATAGCAAGACTACAATCCTAGCTGCTACCACGATGGCAGTAAAAATGAGAGCAGCAATGCTCCAAGAGGATGGAGAGAAATTACATGAGTAGATCTGACATCTAGTCAAATAACTATGGGGAAATCAGCTAATACCAAAAGTTTAGATAAAGAGCACACATATACCCTGTACACTTCATCAACTGGGAGAGCTAGTAATATCTAGCAAGGTGATTTACAAGAAGAATATTAATTTGCAGTAGAACAAGCAAATATCTCAGTCATGGATATCCTCTATCAACACTGCAAAGTAGAAACGAAAGAAGCAATATTTAGACATAACCATCAGTAAGACCTTTTCGGGGTCGGGGCAAAAAACAACAAATCCACTGTAGAAGATGTTACACCCCCTGAGCTGTTCAAGTATGTAGTAAACGCCCTAAAAAAATACATAATAAAACTTGTTACATCCATTTGGAGAGAAGGAAAACTCCCAGACAGTTGGAATGTAGGTATTATAATACCTATTCACAAAAAAGGGGATCCACTAATATGTGACAACTATCGAGGCATTACCCTCCTAAATACGGCTTACAAAGTACTGGCTTATACTTTATGATCTTTTACTAATATATACTGAGGAAAAAATAGGCAAATACCAATGTGGATTCCGAAAAGAAAGGTCAACAACTGATCAGATTTTACTTCTCAGACAAACCTTAGAAAAGACATATGACTATGGAATTTAATACCCAGCACCTCTTCATAAATTTTAAAAGCGCTTATGACGGTGTTGATAGAAGCGCACTTTATAATGCCATGGCAGAACTAGATATTCCGTCGCATCTAATAAGATTGGTAAAGGCAACTCTTTCGAAAGTTGAGTGCAAAGTCAAGGTACAAAACAGATTGTCAAAGTCTTTTCAAACACATACTGAATTACGCCAGGAAGACGGTCTATAGTGTCTATTGTTTAACATCGCGATAGAAAGAGCCATAGAGAAATCGGGCATAACAACCAGAGGTACGATCATCAATAGAAGTGTACAGATATTGGCCTACGCAGATGACATTGACATAGTAACACGGACAAAAAGAGACCTGATACAGGCTTTTGAAACATTCAAAAAAGCCGCGAAGACAATGGGACTGCAGGTTAACGTATCCAAAACAAAATACATGAAGGTCGCGAACCGCACACAAATAGCGGCACCACAAGATCTGGTGACAGAAGCACACACATTCGAATTGGTCTCGGAGTTTATATATCTTCGAACACAACTAAATAACAGCAACCTAGTAAGCGTAGAAATTAAGAGAAGAATATACCTGGTGAACAGAGCTTACTTTGGTCTAAAGCAGTTCTTAATATCATACATAATTAACAGAAAAACCAAGATACTAATATATGAAACTCTTAACTCTTAACTCTAAACCTGTCCTGACATACGCGTCAGAGACATGGACTATGGTAAAATAGTAGGATGCCAAAAATATTTGAAGAAGGAGATTCAGCTATTCTATGTACCATTCTTAAAGGGACATCCTGTACATAAAATATAAAATTTAGTGTCAGTTAAGTCCAATTTTTAAATTGCTCAGTTTATTATTTGCCATAACGATTTTTGCAAACTTACTTGTTCAACACGTGTTAGAGCGATCTTATTCTCCAATCCCTTCTCTTTGATGCCCTTCAAAATATCAAAGTACACTTTTCCGGTACAGAACAGCAATTTCTCGACACCTTCGGGGTTCTTTGAAGCAGGTCCGCTATCTGGAATAATTCTCTGGAATTCGGTTCCTTCGACCATGTCATCGAACGAGCTCCTAGCCTCAGGATGACGCAACAAGCTCTTGGGGGACATGATTACCAAGGGTTTTCTGAATGGCAAAGCTATTTGTCTTCTGAGGATGTGGAAGAGATTGGCCGGTGTGGTGCAGTTGGCGACGATCCAGTTGATATCGTGAAGCTGACGAACGGCAAAGTCGTCGCTTTCAGGTGGGAAGTAGTCTGGGTCATCTGAGGACATTTGTAAGAAACGTTCTAAGCGAGCGCTGGAGTGTTCGGGACCTTGACCTAAAATAAAACACGATGTAAATAATATATTCGGCAAAAGAGGTCATAATATCCTGACAGGATATAATATCATATTTAACAATTTAAAAATTTAAAATTTCTTACCTTCCATTCCGTGAGGCAACAGCATAACCAAACCGGTTTGACGTACCCATTTAGCTTGTCCGCTAGACAACATCTGATCGACAATACATTGGGCGGTGTTGCAGAAGTCTCCAAACTGAGCTTCCCAGATCACCAGAGCGTTGGGGTTTGTCATAGAATAGCCGAGTTCGAAACCGAGTACACCATATTCAGAGAGGGAGCTGTTGCAGACTGTGTAGGGTGCTTGATCTGGATATAAGTTGCACAATGGGCTGTAAAAAGAATGCGATCAATGATTAGATTACTTATGATTTTTTCTCATACAATGCAGTGCGGTCTAATCTCTTTTGATTCTAGTGGCTCAGAAAATTTTTTTAACCAATAAACTTAAATTTATGGGTAACTAACTAAGAACTGTTTATTTTTATGAATTAGAGACGTAATAATTAAAAATGGCGACCGGGTGCCACTTTGTAAAATAATTTTAACCCATATCGTATTGCAAGTAATACATCCTTTGAAATTTCGTCTAATGTTCTTTTCAACGACAATTACACTATAGACTACAAAGAGAGTTGTTAAAAAAATTTTAGGGGAGATTAGTTTGCTGGGTCTTTTCGGCCTAATTTTTATCGACCTTTTTGGCTAACGAATTCTGCAGCACATGGTCGACCATGCAACAATATCTGCAGCAGCTAAGTAGAACCGAATAGCCACTTAAAGAGGAAAGTATCTAAATTCAACTACATTATCAACAACTAACCACTACAGCCTGCAATCCTTTGAAGCCAACAAGTCATCCAGTGATGCCTTAAGTATCATTTTATATTTGTAAAGCTATTTTATATTTGTTCAAATTTAATTTAATATTTCAATTTTTTAATAGTTACTTATGTACAACAACTATGATTAGTTAATATATTGGTTTATTTGTCCCAGCCAAACTCATTTTTCATCTTTACTTCTAAGATAAGACGTTCTCACATCTGAGAAACTAAGTTAAACGAGACCTAACAATTGGTTCCCAATTGTTGTGAATTGGGTTTTCCTCACAACAGAAAGTTGTGAGTTTTATTGTTTTACATTGGCTCTCAAATTTCAGGGGTACATAGTTATATTGTTACCCATTAGCAACCAATTTTTCTGATGAGTCGTTCAAAGTTTACAACATTGTATGTATTTTGGAACCAGAAATCTCCTTGGACGAAATTTACAAGGCTCTAAAAAAAAATGAAGAATAACAAAGCTCCGGGGGAGGACGGTGTCGTCACGGAAGCGATAAAGATAGGAGGGTCAGTACTGATAGCCAAAATTCAAAAGCTCTTTAATCTATGCCTATGGAATCAAAATATCCCAACAAACTGGAATAATTCAATAACTGTACTCTTACACAAGAAGGGAGATATAGCAGACCTGGAAAGATACAGACCAATCAGTCTCCTTAACCATCTTTATAAATTATACACCCGAATAATAACGAACAGATTAGAGACAAAGCTGGATTTTTATCAACCTCGGAAACAAGCTGATTTTCGCCCTAATTACGGCACAAACGATCATCTGCAATGCCTAAAAACCCTGATAGAAAAAACTAACGAATATAACCGTCCCTTGGCATTGATATTTGTAGACTTTAAAAAAGCGTTTGATACAGTGTAACTACTGTCTATCTTAAGAGCACTACAAGATTGCAGGGTCGACCACAGATATTGTAATATATTCAAAAATATATATATGAACATGCCACAACAACCATAAGTCTACATTCTGCAACTAATAAAATAAAGATAAAAAGGGGAGTCAGGCAAGGTGATGCCAAAGCTGTTCATTACCGTTCTTGAGTATGCATTTAAAAAACTAACATGGCAAGAAAAAGGAATATCCATCGATGGAGAAAGATTTAACATTCAACGTTTTGTGGACGATATCGTGCTTCTGTTAGATAATCTGGGAGAGATCAAAGACATGCTCCAAGAACTGAATGACATACTACAAGAAACTGGGCTGGAGATAAATTTCGAGAAAACCAAAATGATGACCAATATGGTTCCCAGCGAAGAGATACAGAATAATAACAACAAGGTCGAATTAATCGATAAATACACATACTTGGGTCATGAAATTAGAATAACCAGAGACAACCAAACCTGCGAGCTAAATAGATGAATCACGTTGGGATGGGCGGCATATGGAAGGATGAGAGACATTTTTAAAACAAATATCCCAATTCACCTGAAAAGAAAGGCATTTAACCAATGCATCTTACCAGTCTTGACCTATGGAGCAGAGACCCTAACTTTAACGAGAGCTACTGCCAAAAAACTGGGGGTAACACAAAGGCGAATGGAGAGATCAATGCTGGGCCTGACCTTGAAAGATCGCGTGAGAAATGAGTAGATACGCCGACGAACTGGCGTAGACGATATTATACTGCGAATCAATAAACAAAAGTGGAGGTGGGCTGGACATGTTGCTAGAATGGAAGACGGAAGATGGACGAAGATATTATTGGAGTGGAGACCAAGAGCCGAAAAGCCAAGTCGAGGCAGACCACCCACCCGATGAACCGATGACCTAAGGAGAATAGAAACAAACTGGATTGCAGCAGCTAAAGATAGAGAGAACTGGAGACGTTTGGAGGAGGCCTATATCCAACAATGGATGTGAAAATGGGGCTGGATGATGATGATGTATTTTAGCCTTAGTTTCTTGAGGGCCTGAAGATGCTGTAAAATTTTGTAAACAGCGAAACCCGTAGCCCATTCTATTTTACCAACTTTAATAAAAATGTATAACGGATTGTGAGTAGAAGCCTTATTTACCTAGGATTCACGAGTATGTACTCACACACAATTTTGCTTGAATTTGGCTGAAGTATCAACCAAGGCATTTAAATTTCAGAGCATATTCCAATACTGATTTTTCTCTATGGCTGCATACAATACGCATACAGTTAAAAAATATTTAAGAATATCTTACCGGTATGTAGCTTTATCAACAGTTTGATGATGTAGAACATGGTGTCTGTGTGAGAAAGTACCTCTCTCAACATCTTGACCAGACAATCTAACGTGAATGCCTTCCTTCAACAAAGAACCGAAAGCCATGGCTTCACCAAGAGCCCAGTCAGCAACTCTATTTTCAACCATTTCCATCCTGGATTTGAGAATACGTTCAATACCTATGTAAAAACAGTGGTGTAGTAAAAACATATAATTAATTCAATGATATAAAGTTTAATATATGTTAATGTAAAAATGTACGTTTTTCTATTATAAATCACTTACCTTTGTGGATGATGAATTCAGTGGCATTTGGTGGTGGAGCAGAAAATCGTTTTCCAATGTGTACCAAGGTGTCTTCGTTAACTCCAGTGGGGTTAACTTTCAAGGGATCTTTTCCTTCAAAGAAACCAGACCAGGGACTGTCGATCCAATCCTTATATTTGATATGAGTTTCTTGTTGAGCTCTTTCGAAAGCTTCATCGCAAATTTTGTCGTATTTTGCTTTAACATCCTTCACTTCATCTTGGGTAACGATTCCTGTTTAAACAATAGTTAGAGATTAAAAAATAGGAGTTGAAGGCGACTCCAAAGAAGAAGTCGAAAGCTGGATCAGCTAAATCCAATACAGCTCAAATCCAAAACGGATGATGCTAAAAAGGATTATATTGCTTACCTTCAGTGATCAGTTGTTCAGCGTATTTATCTATACAGGCTTTAGTCTGTTTGATCTTTCTGTACATAAGAGGCTGTGTGAACATCGGCTCGTCAATTTCGTTATGTCCATTTCTACGATAGCAAACCAAATCTATGATGACGTCTTTATGGAAAGTGGCTCTCCATTCTGCAGCGATGTTACATACGTGGATGACACTTTCCGGATCGTCTGCGTTCACGTGGAATATTGGTGCATTAACTACACGAGCAACATCTAAAAAAAAAAACAATGTACTGTCATTAACTGACTACAATTTATCCCGATAAAAAAGTTCTGATAACCTCTAGAGTAAGTCCAAGTATTCTTCAAGAATGGTCCTTATTACCGTGAGATGTCAAAGTAGTTGTCTACAAAGACCTGAAGTAGTAGTAAAAGATACCTGTGTCTGTGTTAAGCCAACTTGTCACAGCTAACACATGCTTAAATTATAATTTCCGGTAACATTTGGTTAAATTTTGGTACATGTTTAGTAGGTTCGACTAAACAAGCGATTAGATATTAAACAAAAACAGTATCGCTTATATTCAACGTCAATTTCGATTAAAATATATCACAAAGTATCGAGTGAAGACACCGAAACGTCAAATTTTAATTCATATTGTAGTTTATTCCCATTATATGTAGTACATAAAAAAGTTTCTTTTGATTATAAACTTATTTCTTAGATTGCTCATAAAAGCCCGAATATCTGGCGAGGAATTTTTTTGCTTTATTAATTGTAAAATCTGTTCTTTCTGGACAATTTCTTTTGACTTCTTGGATTTATTATATATTTGGAGTTTATATATTTTTGTTATTGCGTACACTATTTAAATACTTTGGATTAATATGGACTTTTAAATAATTGGATACTTGTTACAAATAATTAGCCAGGACTCAACAAATTGGCCAAGAGATATACTCAACAAATTGGCTGAAAATTAACTAGGTGAGTATCAGGCCCGTTTTAGAGTCAATAAATCAGTGGTAGATCCAATTTTTACAGTAAAAGTGACATTATGAACATAAGGTAACCCTTTATGTGATGTTCATAGATTTTAAACAACCGTATGATAGAATAAGAAGTTAGTAGGTTAGTAAGAATGACTCTGCATAGCACACAAAATCATGTAGTATGGAGAGGATGATTCTTATCGGATGAATTTGAAATGAACAGAGGTCTTAGACAGGGCGATCCGTTATCCATCTTCAACAATGAACATCAATGTCTGGCCTTCGCTGATGATCTTACTATCCTAACAAAAACAAGAAAATAATTAAGAAATGTTATAAAAAGATTAGAAAAGGAGCAACATATTTTGACCTAGAAATAAACCAGAAAATATCAAAGTATATGATACTCGGAGATACAGGGCAAAAAGAAGAGGGACAGTTTACTTTCAAAAAAAATTTATTTCAAATCCTTTATAAAAGGTATATAATAAAATACCCAAACGGACTATCACAATAATATTACAAAACGTTTTCGGATTGTTAAATCCATCATCAGTGTAAACGAGGTATACATGCTATGAGACACCAAAATATATGGGTCAAAACCCTTTAAATTTTATAAATTTATAGTTGTTTTACATGATATATGGTTACAGATTATGATGTTTAAGTTACCGTTGGAATTGGTAACATGGCGACGTATGACCTCAGGTCGCAGGTCCTCGAAGACACTTCGTCTCAGGACCATTTTACCTATGTAGGGTCATACGTCGCCATGTTACCAATTCCAACGGTAACTTAAACATCATAATCTGTAACCATATACAATGTAAAACAACTATAAATTTATAAAATTTAAAGGGTTTTGACAGATATATTTTGGTGGCTCATAGCATGTATACCTCGTTTACACTGATGATGGATTTAACAATTCGAAAACGTTTTGTGATAGCCCGTTTGGTTATTTTATTATATACCTTTTATAAAGGATTTGAAATAAATTTTTTGTGATATATGGTATACAGCCAGATACAGGAACTTAGTTTCCTAGTGAAGTTTACTTTCATATCTAATGAATCAAGGGAATTTCGAGAGAGTGGTCCATTTTACGTATCTGGGGGATATTATGTCAGTATCTGGGGGGAAGAGTCAGGAAGAATGGGAACTGAATGCCAGATTGGCAAATGGAAATAAAAATATGGAAAGCCTAAGACTACCAATGAAATTCAAATATGTATAGAGAAAAACAAAGTTAAGGATATGTAAAACGGAAATAAGACCCACAGTGACGTATGGACAATAAAAAGCAAATACGAAGAAATTGGAAAGATGGTAAAGGAAAATGCTCACAAGAATAATCAGGGAGTTAGAGGGATTGTATAACAAAGCAAGCATGCCACTTCATAAAGGCACAGAGAGTGAGATGGATAGGGCACGTGATGAGAATGAAAGGAAGAGAATGCCAAAGATGATCCTAAAACGGGTCCAATCACGAAAACAAGAAAAGCACGACCCAGACAAAGATGGCCTGATAGCGTAAAGGAAGATATCAGAAAAGAAGAAATTGATAGTTGGAAAGAACTAGCAACAAACAAGTTAATGTAGTAGGCAAGGAGCATGATTTTTACACAAAATCACTTCACTGGATACAAGTATTGGAATATATTAGTATTATATTAATTTAGTTTAGCCCTAGGCCTTCGAGGCATGTTGAGCTTTCTAAATAAATAAATTTAAATGTATTTTATAAAAATAGAAATACAATGCTATATTACCTGTACAATATGGTGAAGATCTGGAGAAACGAGGATCAGTGGTGAAACCAATTTGATTGTTAACAACAATATGGATGGTACCGTGAGTTGTGTAATCTGGTAGTTCTGACAAGTGCATAGTTTCGAATACAACACCTTGGCCAGAGAATGCAGCATCACCGTGTAAGAGTATGGACATAACCTAAAAATAACACAAATCAGTTGTTTAAGTTTTCGGTTAACATATTTATGCTACAAAAATCCTAGAGTTACAAAGTATCTATTTACAGTTGCCAGTTTTTACTGAAAAAAGTTTTAAAACCAATACCGTAAAAGTATATAGAAGTAGATGTTGCTCTACCATCTCAGTAGGGCATTGATTTACTACTTCGAATGTAGTACTGCTCGCATCAACAATGCTTCTCTTCTAAAGATCGAAATAAAAGCAAATCTTCACAATCAAAACTATTTCCTCTTAGACAGTAAACATTTTTCAAAAATCTCAACTGGATATTAATTGAATCACGTATTTCAGAAACCCCAAAAATCACAAATTTATGAAATTACAGTTTTCTGTAATTTTTGGTAGTATATAGGTATACGCACTTAACAGTAAACAGAAACCCCAAAACTCACTAAATTTACATACATTTGTTGCCAGATGAAAATTTCATGTATTGCAGAAACACCAAAACTCCAGGAATTTTGGTGTTTCTAAAATATAATATTTGAACACACTGATTTTTGACATGACAGGTTTTTGTTTTTGAGGTTATGCACATTATTTATTTGTGATCTCTACATATGGTTAGTTGTTATTACAGTAAAAATTAATAATAATTTAAGTAATGGAAATTGAAAATCAGTCTTCAACGCGCAAAAAAAAGCGTGGAATACGTAATATCAGTGAATATAAAAGAGAAGTTATTAAAAACTCTAGAGTTAAAGGGTCTGCCTATAAACGCTGGAGTGGTGTCTTGGCGCCTGAAGTGAACCAAGGACCAGACTGCAAGTAAGCCTTAAAACTTTAAAATATTACTAACTAGCTAGACAATATCTAATATTTTATTATCGTAATTTGAATGATACTTATTTTTAGATGTCGCCAAAAATGCTTTTTACAAATTTCTGAAGAAGCACGCATTCAATTATTTCGAAACTTCAGGAGCCTTAACACCAAGAACGAACAAGATTGTTTGCTACAATCGCTTATTTCAGTCCATGAAGTTGCACGTCGAAGGCGCAAAAAACCAGCTGATATTTCTTGCAAGCCTGATAGACTAGCTTCTTTTAAATATACAATTCAGGGACCAACAGGTACAAATAAAATCTGTAGAAAAGCTTTTATTGCCATTTTTGGCATTACTAATGATCGGTTGCGTCGCTTAACCACGTTAAGACGAGAGGGGCAAGTTCCTATAGATAAACGAGGTAAAAATAAATCTGGCAATGCGAAGTCAGGACTTGTTATAGATTCAATCATACAACATATTGCTTCGTTTCCGTCAAAACGGCCCATTATACTAGTAGAGAATATAGGTATCTAAATGAAAAATTAAATATTTTTATAATGTATAAGTTGTTTAAAGAGGTTCACCCAGAACAAAACGTTAAATATTCATATTATCAAAAGATTTTTAAAGAACAATTTTCATTATCTTTCGGTCGCCCACAAGTCGACACCTGCTCTACATGTGAAGAGTTAGAAACTAAAATAAAAAGTAAATTCTTAAATGAAACAGCAAAAAGAGTGGCACTGGCAGAAAAAATGGTTCATAAGAAACGGGCAAACAAATTTTATAACAAACTTAAAACCATTTCAGAACTTTGTAAAGTAGATGAGAATGTAGGTGGTATTTGCATTGATTATATGCAAAACCTGCAACTACCAGTTATTCCTGTCCAGGAAACATTCTATTTAAGACAACTTACTGTTAATGTTTTATGTATTCATAATCTGAAAGATGATAAGGTAACATTCTATGTGTATCATGAGGGAACAGGAACTAAAGGGCCTAATGAAGTTGTATCATTTTTATTACATTTTCTTGACAACAATCCAGAATTTAAAAATATTAACCATTTTCACTTCTTTTCTGATGCATGTGCCGCCCAGAACAAGAACCATACAATAGTTACACTTTTTTCTGCATTAGTTTCAACCAATAGATTCAAAAAGATTGAACAATATTATCCCACACGGGGACATTCATTTCTACCGTGTGATCGGGATTTTTCCGTTCTTAAAAGGAAAATTAAAAAATCAGACAGGATTTATACCTTAAAAGAGTATGTAGAGCTTATCATAACATCTAACAAGAGTTTAAACCGATTTACTGTAGTTTTGCCGAATTCTGATGACATATTGAACTTTAAAGGATGGTGGCCCACGTATTTTAAAAAGACAATGCTCTCCAATGAATCTTTGGGCAGAAATATCCCAAGAGATCAAAAAATTGCTTTTAAAATATCCAACTTTCGACACTTTATTCATTCGAGTGATCACGATGGAATTGTTATTGCAAAAGAGTACATAGATGGCTTGATACATCATTCTTTTCGGCTACGAAATAGCAACAAGGATGTTATTAGTTTCCCTACCAGAAAAGCGTACACCGAAGGACATATTCCTATTAATATCAAGAAGATGCAAGACTTGAGAAAACTGGAAAAGTATCTACCAGATAATGAAGAAGTCAAGGACTTTTACGGAGAAATTTTTAATTTGCCAACATGCGAGGGAGATTCAAATGAAATAATACAACCAGATGAGTGATTACTACTGATATATTATTCTGTATGCCCATATTTTTGAATAAATGTTTATATAAAACTTGTTTTCTTATTTTTACATCTTTGAAAAATGTGTATATTCAAAAACCCCAAAAATCCACAAAAGTAAAAAAGGAAAAAAAAACATAATATAAAGCTAAAATTCACCACTTTTTATGCAAACTGATTAAAACACATTAATCTCATGATTTTATTACAAAAGCACAACAGGTTTTTAAAAATATTTCATGAAATAAGGTTTTTTCTAATTTCTCAACATTTTATAAAAATGGAGTTATGGGGTTTCTGAAATATGTGATTCAATTAGTATGTTCATTTTTTTTTATTGGGATTTTTATATTTTTTTTATTATTAGTGGTGGTACAATATAGACTATAATATATTATAATGATTAATATAAAATATAAACTATAAAGTTTTTACAAAGTTGATTATAATTGAATTGAATTTTTCTTGAAGTATCACTTATATTTGATTATACAATATCGTTTTCATTAAAACCTTAATGATTTTGTCACAATCCGCACTGTCTAAAGCGTACTTTATATCACTTGGTACTCCAGTAGCTTGTCATTCCATTTGATATAATGGACAGTCTATAACAATGTGGCCTACATGTCACAGGCGTAGCATATTCTAGGAGCTTCCTTCCTTAGTAGGTGTTCGTGCGTCAGTCTGGTATGTCCTATTCGAATACGATGTACTACAACTTGGTCCCTTCGCTTTACTAAAATTGGTGTTTTCGCTGATATACATTTTTTCATATCTGAGTGGGAAATTTGGTTAGTTCTATCATCGGATCTCCCCATTTTACAAACTTCTTTGGCCATTTGATCAGCTATCTCATTTCCTGGTATCCCCACATGAGATGGTATCCACACAATATGTAGTTGTTTATGATTATTTTGTAGTCACAACGTATTTTTTAATCTGTTCTAAAATCAGATGATTCGGATATATTTTCTGAATTCCCTTGGATTGCACTTAAGGAATCTTTGAATATTACTGTCATGTCTTCAGGTCGATTAAGAGTTTGTTGTACTGCCTTGGATATAGCAAAAAGTTCAGCAGAATATATTGAGTAGTCTTTAGGTAGTGGAAATTTGAGCACAGAATTCTCTGTGACAATGGCGGATCCTACAGTTTCCACTTCGGGTGTTTTTAATGCATCGGTATAAACTAGTTGACAGGATGAATATTTATTTTTAATATTGTAGAAGTATTGGAGAAAAAGAGGGGAAAAAGGGGTATTGTCCTTATTATAAGTTGACAAATCTGTGTTAAAATATGGAATTTGTATAGTCCGAGGGGGAGCATAATCAATATTGGTATGCATAATACCCGGATATGTGAAGTTGCTAATTTTCTTTTGCTAAATGATGGTCGAAGATTAGGATTTTGATTGTAATTAGAATGTATGGAGAAAGCATAGGGGTAGGCCGGGTTGTTTGGATTAATTGATAGCTTGCTTCCGTATTGTAAACTGAGACGTAATCTTCTAATAAAAAGTGGAGATTCATTTGCTTCTACGTAAAGACTTTCAACTGGACTGGTTCTGTAGACTCCTAGAGCTAGTCTTAGTGCGGTATCTTGTACAATATCTATTTTTTTTAATGTTGAGTCAGCTGAATTATATACAATTGATCAAAAATCTAATTTACTGCGGATTAAGGATTTGTAAATATTTAGTAGCTGTGTTGTGTCTGCGCCCCAGTTATGATTTGCTAGTACTTTAAGAATATTTATGTTCTGTAAACATGATTTTTTAAGTAATTCGATTTGTTTGTTTCAAGTAAGTTTTGAATCATAAATCATACCTAGAAATCTAAGTTCCTCAACGTTTTCTAAAACTTGATCATACAGTGTTAATTTTGGAAGATTTGCAACAATTTGATGTTTTCGAGAAAAGCACATTACTTTGGTTTTAACCGTAGAAAATTTCAGTCCTGTTGTTTTAGACCAATCTTGTAGAGAATTAATAGAAAGTTGAATATTGTTTGATGCCATATTAAGATTATTATGAGAAATATTACGAGGTCATCAGCATATAGGATTGCTTTAACAGGGTTTCGGATACTGTTCTTGATATCGTTAATTGCAACTAAAAAGAGTGTTGCGCATAGTGTAGATCCTTGGGGTACGCCATTTTCTTGTGTATAGTCTGAAAGTTCCTGATTTGATTTAACTCGGAAATTTCTGTCATCTAGAAAATTTTTGACGAATGCTAGAAAATTTCCATCTATGTCCCAATGCTGTAATTGAACAATAACGTCATATTTCCATATGGTATCATAAGCTTTTATTATATCAAAGAAGACAGCTATAACTTGTCGATTAGTTGCAAATGCCTCATTAACTGCCGATTCTAGCGACACTAAATTGTCAGTTGTGCTTCTATTTTTCCTAAACTGCTTTGCTGATTAACTATTAGATTTTTTGATTCTAAAAAGAATTGTAACTGTCTATTAATTCCGGGTTTGACTTATTTTTGTTAGGTTTCAAAAGAGGAATTATTGTAGTGGTACTCCAGGATTTAGTAAATTTTAAGTCGAAAATAAAAAATTTAATATATCTAAGAGTAGATTCTTAGCAGCTAAAGGAAGATTAATTAAAAAACAATTTGGAATTTCATCTAGTCCAGGGCTAGAGTATTTAAGTCCTTGCAGTGCTTCGTTTAGTTCTTGCATATTTATTGCAACATTTAGCGGACTGATGGAATCTGTAATTTTCACCTCTTTTTCTATTTTCTTTTTTTTCGACAAATAATGGTTCATGTACGGAATCACTTGAATATGTCTGAAATAAGTCGATAAAGCGTTGGCTATTTGACTGTTGTTTGTAATTAAGTTTCTCTAGTATGTTCATATTAAGGAAACAAACCTAATTTACGCAAAACTTAATCTTCCAAGTAGCTTCACTTCATAAACACAAATACTAAGCACATAAACACTTGATTATTCCGAAATTTACCTTTTTGCCTTCTCCGTCGCCTCTGTAGAACTGTTCGGCTCTGGTTTTTCCTTGGGTAACAGGATCAACAGTTTCCAAATGGGAGGGATTTGCTACTACAGCTAGTCTTATATTTTTGTTTGTAACACGGTTCAATCTGAAAACAATAAACAAACCAATATAACCAGTTTATAAATGAAAGACATATAACTTCGAATTCATCACGACAAATGTGTGCCCTTTTATTTTCAATTTTCCAATATTTTAGTTTATAAAAGTGATATTTTGCATTAGAAGATGAAAAAGACAAATTTTTCTATTCATTTAAAAATAAATTTTAATCGGTGTCAACATTTGTGTGGAATGTGAGATATATAAAACCTTACCTTTCAATGTATGTGCCCAAGTGGTACTTGACATCACCAGAACCATCATCAGCAGATTTCAAGCCTGCGAATTGGGTAAACAGTTGATGCAAAGGTTTGCGGCAAACGTTAGCTAAGACATTAAGACGCCCCCTATGGGACATACCCATAACTATACTTTCTACACCTAAGTCTGTTGATTTATCTATCACAGTTTTCATTGCAGGTATAAGGATTTCGCATCCCTCGAGGCCGAAACGTTTTTCGGATGAGTACTTTCTGGCCAAGAACGATTCGAATCTAAAAATAAAATGTAATGTCAAAAAAACTGAGAAATAAATTAAGTAGTCAAATTTTTATGCAATATATTCATAATAGAATTGACTATCTATTAATCTCTGGATGAATTTATGATAATTTCGTCATGACTTACCCATGAGCTCTCGTCAACCTCGCCAAAATAAGTCGTTTCTTTTCGGGTGTCAGATCTGTAACGCCAGGAGTCTCTAGTCGCTGTCGGATCCAGTTACACTGTTCCAAACTGTTGATGAACATGAATTCAACACCTATATGTCTGCAGTAGGTTAACTCCAGTCGTCTCAGTATTTCTCTCAAAGGCAAGGATTTTTCTTTTCCACCGATAAATGTCGTTGATGGCAATTTAAATACTCTATCCATATCGGTTTCCTCTACAGTCAAAATAAGATTGTTAAAAAATGTTTAGTACAAAAACTAAAGTCAATAAAAGCTTCTGATTATCTAAAGATTAATAGTTCATGAAGTCTCAAGTCGCTGAAGAACCAAGAAAAGCTGTTATAAGCAATCCGATAATACACGATATGTCATGGTCTATTCTCTTTTAATTTTAATTATTCCAAACCACCAACGACAGTTAATCTTGGCTCGGTAGCTGTTATTAATTAATTTATATATTGAAAATATTTTATGGTGCACACTGTCCACTTTTGAAAATGTCAGGGTCTATTGTGGGTTATCTACCCTTAATACTTAGTAACTCTTTGTTGTTTTGTTGGCTACAATGAAGTAGAATTTTTAGGTTATAAGAAAAACTTGTTAAAATCTCTTTTACCTTTGTCGATTTGTCTATTAATGCCTTCCAGCAGTAAATTACCACATATCTATTTTACAGAGAAAACTCTTCGCGGTAGCATTTACGGACAAATAACCAAAAGCTTTTATATTTATGTTTGAATATGTGGTGCACCCCACGAATTATATATTTTACTATACTTACCCACAATTCTCTCATTTTATTTTAAGTGACAGTTTTGTTGGTGAAAAGCTATGAAAAATCAACATAAAACCAATTTCGAAGACAACACCACGCAATACTTCAACCATGATACCTACCATGAGCAATAAACGACGTACACGGTACTTAATTTTTTCATCTGATATGCCTCTGTTAATTTTGTCAGTAATAATACGAGATCTAGAACGGCAACACTGTTGATATTTGTAGAATGCTAAGCAGAAGCAATAACGACGAGGATGGATCAACAATGTTATAAATAAGAGGACAACATTTTTAAACATACAAGTTTTCGACACGATTTGAGGATGTTCAGACAAATTATACGTGCTGTTCTTAAGGGCGTTCATAACTGTTGACATTTCATTTCTATAAACACATAAATTAATACTTTATTCTAGAAGCTACAGTGTTGCCAAACTGTAACGGGTGTTGGGTTTCGTGAAATCGTGAAGTTGTCAGAAACCAAAGAAAAAATTAAGTATTGTACATAAACTATGTAAAACGAAAGGTTTTAATGTTGTTTTTTTATAAAAAAAATGTAAAAAATAATTGAAATACACCTAATATAAAGTTGATTGTAACGTGAAATAATAATAATGATGAAAGTACAAACTAAAAACATATCCAAAACGGTATTCAAAAAAAGTAATTCTTATTATACTTATTTTTATTAAAAAAAATATGTTTTTTGGTATAAGCTCAGATTCGAAAGATTTAGAATTGTATGGACTTCACTTTTATTTCTCATGTCTTCATCGATGTTATCAAGGAACCTTGTTCTGGGTCTTCCTCTTCTTCTCTAACCAAAGGATCTATCAAGACCCATATCATTATATGCCCTATCCACCTCAGACGTCATATCTTAATATGTTTTACGATATCTGGTTCTTGGTATATTCAATAAAGATCGAAGTTGTATCGTCTTCTTCACACTCCATTGTCATTAACTGCTCCATAGATTCGTCTTAGTACTTTTCTTTCGAAACATCCTAACATGTTTTCATTTCTTTGTGCTAGGGTCCAGTTTTCTGAACCATATATTAAGACTAGGCGTTTTATAGTTTTATTTTTGTATTTCTCGATATAATTGTGGATTTAGGTCCAAAAATAGCATATGTTGGCCGTGCAAATTCTACGGCTAATCTCTGCTGTAGTATTATTTTCAGTGTTAAGGAGCGCTCCCAGGTATACAAATTCGTTCACTGCTTCGATGGCATCGTTTTCTATAAGTGGTCGTAGGATTTGTGGACGCGTGCTTATTTTTACATACTTCGATTTGTTGATGTATTATTAAACCCACTTTTGTAGTTGATTCTTTTCATGCTACATACGCTTCTCATACAGCGTTTTCCGTTCTCCCAACAATATTGATATCATCAGCATAGGCAAGGATTTGCACTGATTTATTATATATTAAACCAATGGTTGTGGTTTGTGACACAGGCATTACTTTTTCCAGAGCCAGACTGAACAGTATACAGGAGAGGGTCTCCCTGGAGAAGTACTCTACATTCACCTTTTTGGAGTTAGTTTTGTTATATTTACCAACTGAATAGGTTTAAACATTTCTCTTCTATTCACAAAGTCGTAGGCTGCTTTGTAGTATATTGTTACGATAATTTGGCGTTTATAACTATAAATATATTATGACTAATTCTGTTTTCTGTTCCAGTAAATTCGAAGTTGTTTACAGAAACCTTTAGACCCCAATTTTATGAGTCATTCACGTCTCGAGGATTTTCAAACAGTTGAAAAACGAGTCGAGCGGCTTCACCAACATACGAGATTATTCGATGGAGTTCCATTATAATGTAGAAGGTCGCCGAACTTTCGAGATAACAACAGTTTTTGTATATAAACGAAACATTTTTTTTATTTGGAAGTCAGTCATAAGAAGATCGGGAAACGCGATTGAATTGTAACGAAACGTAAATAGTTGTAAAGTTAATTAATAAATTAGTAATTAGTTATCGTGAGTTTTAATAAATTAGAATATAGACAATAAATTAGAATAAAGACAAATAAATTAGAACAATATAAATATACTACAATATAAATATGTGATAAGTATCTATGCCATATTCCAGTGTTTTTTCTAAAATTTGTTTCAGGGTTGCGATCTGATGAATTGTAGATTTACCACCTTTGAAACCAGCCTGGTATTTTCTTACTATCCGTTGTGCATATTGTGCCATACGTTGATACAGTACTGTGGAAAATATTTTATACACAGCATTTAGAAGCGTAATTCAAAGATATTTTCTTTTTTGTCTATGATGCAAAGTATTCCAATATTCTAATCATTCGGGAAGGATTTCTGTGTCCATATTTCTTTTATAAGCTACTAAGATGCTATTATGGTATCATGGCCAACTTCTTTACATAGTTCAGCTGGGAGATTATCTATTCCGGGTGATTTTTTTTGGCTAGTTTTTTAAATGCATTTTTAACTTCAAGAATCGTTGGTGGTTCCTCTTCCCTCTTGTCTGTTCCCCTTACCTCATCCCTTTCGTCTTCCAGGTTTTCTTCATCTTCCTCTATATTAAGTGCCTGGTTAGAGTATTCCACCCATCTATTCAATACTCAATCTTCTGCATTGTCTTATGGTTGCCTCGAAGAATTTTATTTTTTTTTTAAATAGTGCATTCGAAAATGACGGGATTGGTCAAAAAATACGCTGACTGACAGAGCAGTGCTTACAGTAGGTATGTACAAGAAAATGCAAGCAATTAGTGATAGTGTGTTGGCTAGAGTACTGGGCATGATGCTGATAGGAAATCTTGCATTAAGTGCCAGAAAATCATTTCAGTCCAGAATTTTTCCCACGCCCTTTTCTGAGTGGAAACATTTCTTGGAACAGTGGAACAGAGTTTTCAAATTTTGGACATCTTACTTGTAAGACTTAATGAAGTCTTAAATGGAAACTTATTACATAAATTTTATTTAAAATGATAGGAAAACTTCTATTAAAAACGCGAATTTTTAACTGCAGTTAAAGCAGTTATTTGTATGCAAAATATGATCCTTTTTCAATAGGTCAAATTTTGTCTAATTACAAAGATCATATTCCTATTTACCAGTACTTGCATTTTGGATGCTACTTATCACAACAGTGTTATCGATATTATGTAATACACACTTAAAAAAGTCTCTTTACACCACTTTGGATATATTTTTAGATTGCATTAATAAAAAAATGCTTTTAAACTCTATAAATAATTATCTAGATGATATTTCTCTTAAACTCTATAAACTTTAAAAATAAAAATATTTGTGAAGAATGGATTCAGCTTGAAACATTATTCTAGGTCAAACGCGATAACTAAATAAGCAAGCGAATAATTAGAAAGCTCAAGGAACAATAGCATTAGATTTGTAGCAGAATTATAGGACTAGCGAAAATTAAAAAGTTAGAAGCAGTCAAGAGGGATGACTAGCCATATCAATTAAGAAGTTTTTACTGTAATACATACATTATGTTGTTTGTATAATTATATATAGGATGGAAATCACTTATGGAATAAAATTATTTCTTCTTTGTTTTAAAAAATTATAAACAAAAGGCTGTGATTTGTCGAGTTTTATATATACATATTCGCTTTTTAAGCGTAAATTTAAATGTACGGGGTGACTCACACAAGCCTAAAATAGTCCAAAAGCTTGATTTTTAATGGAGCACACTGTATATTTTTTATATTTTTAAAAGCTCCTTAACAAGCTGATTTCAACGAACTATATCCTGTAGAGTCTACTATGAATATTACATTGTGAAATTATAAAAAATTCTGGGACACGTCAACTTTTAAATTCAGCCGTGCGCTTTTAATTTAAATGTACAGGGTGATTCACGCAAGTCTAGCAAAATCCAACATCTTTATTTTTAATATAACATCCTATATATTTTATGTTTTTAAAATCTCCTCAACAACCTGATCTTTTTTTTGAGATGAGGATGTTAAGTCCCTTTTTAAAACATAAACATATACAGGATATACGTTAACAATAAAGATGATGGACTATGCTAGACTTGTGTGAGTGCCATTCACAGTGTACATTCAAATTTATGTTTAAAAAATGCATAGAGACCAGAGAAATAAGCAAAAAAAGTACCCTGTTTGTGACACTGAACAGGCAAACGACAGTTATTTTGAGTAGCACTTCTGTAACAAAAATCTGTATGTTTCCTGCGGTCGATTTTTTGGACTTAATTAGTTATTAACAAATTAAGGTCAAAAAACGGTAAATTTTTGCTTTTTCTTCTATCAGCAAAAAGTAAAGCATTTGAAACAAATTTGAGAATTAGAAATTATATATGTTCCATAAAAATGCAATCTTTTTCGAATTTTTCACATTAAAACTATAAAGGATGTTCTTTCAGGTGACCCTAATAAGGCCTCTTAATTGATATAAACAAAGATGCTATCAATTTATAAAAAAAGGCACTAACTCCGTCCCACAGTGTCCTAGGTAGTTTTTTTTAATTTGTAAAAAATTCAGGCTGTCTTAAATATGGAAAAATCAGTTTTTTGCAGTTAATGGTTAAAAAGTTATTCTAATTGTTTATAAGCAAAAAATCGACAAATTTAAATAACTTAAAAACTATTTGACCGATCGAACTTATATGATTTTTATCATATTTTAAGCACCACAAGGCCCAACGTTGTATCTAATATAAAGGTTATAAATTTATTTTAAAAAAAGTTAATATACATTACCGAAATTTTTGACTTATTTTGCAACTTTCTAAGCAACAAATAAAGATAGGAACATTTATAAAACACCATTTTGAAGGTTTTTGTATGACTTTTATAAGTTTCTTATTCTCAAATTTGTTCAAATGCTTTACTTTTTGCTGATAGACGAAAAAAGCAAAAATTTTTCGTTTTTTGACCTTAATTTGTTAATAATTAATTGAGTCCAAAAACTCGACTGCAGGACACACATAGATTTTTGTTACAGAGGTCCATACTACTCAAAACAACTGTCGTTTACCTGGCCGGAGGAGTGTCACAAAAAAAAGTTTATTTCCCTGGGCTAATATTTGAATTTAAAAGTTGACGTGTTCCAGCGTTTCTCATAATTTTCTAAGATAAGGACACAACATTTGTTATTCCGTAAGTGGTTTCCACATTTTATAATTTCAAAAGGTTATCCTATATTATTCATAAAACTTATATGATATAGTTCGTTGAGTTCAGCCTGTAGAGAGCAGCTTTTAAATAAAAATATACAGGGTTTTCCATTAAAAATCAAGTTTATGGACTATTCTGGACTTGTAGACATTTAAATTTATATTTAAAAAGCTTACATTTATATATTAAAGTCAACGGGTCAAGGGCTTTTTATAATTCTTTAAAACAGTGACAGATATAATATTCCATAAGTGGTTTGCACCCTGTATAATTAAATAACACAAGAGCTAAAGGAATGTTGAATACTGATCGGAATTAACAGGTCGTCGTAAAATTTAATATATGTGAATATTGTCAAATCTGCTAAATCAGCGCAAACAAATTTGTTTTTCCGAAAAATTTTCCCCCAGAATTAAAGTTCACAAAAGATCGATAACAAAGATTATTTAAAAACATGTTACACAAAAAAATTCTTGCCTAGATTACTCCTTCGTTACTAACATAATCGTCGATGAGATCCAACAATCCAGCAATTTTCAAATCCTCAGTGCTTGAACTATATCTCTTCCTTGGGTCAGCATTATTGTCAAATGCTACAAACCGACTACGGACAGAAATTTGTCGAGTTCTAAGTATTGATAATTTAGTCAAAAAACTGTTGAAACAATTGCCTATATATTTTCTATACATATTTTTTTTTCTTTGAGAAATGTCATCAGTAAAATTATCTTCAACTTCAGTCAAAAATATATTTTCCAAATGGCGTATATAAAATTTTGCAACGACCTGTATTCTTCCAATGCTAATTTTAAAAACTTGTATAAAAAACTTGAAATACCATTAATTACCTTTATATGCTGCGAACCCATTTGTGATAAAAAAAATACAAAAGAAGGTTTACATGTAACGCACACATTCGTATTTTTAATAAGCTTTCCGACATTATTTTTCACTATTTGTGTACTGCCTGTTGTAATTTCACTTTGTTACATTATAGTTTTCAAAATCTCCCTCCTCCCCTAAACCTGTGGAGATGATTATTACAAAAGCTCTGCTCTTTTCATTGGTTAAACCGCAAAAATTAATCAGTTTATCACAGATCCGGGAAACGTTTCAGCAAGTACTGATTTAAAATTTCAAGAATATCTGAAAGCTTCCTAGCTTGCAATGTAGATTAGATTTAATAGATACGAGATATCAGAGGAAAGGGAGGACGAATTAAAGAGAACTGAAAAAAAAACTGAGAGTATAGGAGCCACAAATGAGAAAAACAGAGGAAACATGTGATCTTATAATCAGCATTTAGATATCCTTCTTCTTCTCCCGCTTCCCATACCTCTTCATGTGTCTGACTGTGATTTCGGTTTATTATAAATAGCCAAAATATCATTGGAAAACTCCAAAGAAGCACAAATCAATAGAATACTCTTTCATTCTTGTTGATTTTACGCCGGCTCCACTCATGGGGGCCGACGTTTTTATGACTTGCTCCAACGTTGGGCGTTTTCCGTGGGATGTCGAATTTAGTTGTAGGCACGAATTTTCGCATGCTGCATAAAATTACCTAATTTTGCACAATCTAGCATAGCAAAAGAAAATAAACCAATGATAAGCCGCAGTTTATAAAAAGAGTCTTCGTCTTCTTTTTTCTTTTAAAATGCTTGTGCTGCTATTTTATACAGCATTCTTTTTAGAAAATAAAAATTACTTGATCGAATAAACTTTCCATTTCGTGATGGCATTAAAAAACACATTTGTAACATGTAAAAAGCATTTTTATTATTGAAGTTATTACACAACTTTTTCTGCAAAAATGGGAATGCAACCTCTAACAACCAAACGAGATCTATATTTTGTACAGATCTATAACATCGTAATCGTTTGAAAAAAGTACAATTATTCAAAACAAAAGTTTCATTCATAAAATGTGTGTTACATATAAACCTACCACCCATAGGCATAACTTTCCACTGTTTGCCTTTCCTATAAAACCGTCAGAACTTCTTATCTGTGGTCATTGTTAGGATGTGACAAAGAGAAAGAAAGTTACACCATTGAAAATAAAAAGAAACAAAAACAGTATAGCTTACTTTGCATAAATTGCTGGACCTGCCTTCTCAACTCTTCGCTGTATGTTCTCGACTGATTGCCTGATAGGTTAAAACAATAAGCAAAAAGAACACAAAACAGATGAAACAACAAAAATAAGAAAAGAAGTAAAAACAAATCTAACGCGTCTTAAACAAAAAGAACATGGCTGTCAGGTATTAGGTACTTTTCCTTTTGCTTTTCTGGTTGTTTTATTTAAAATTTCTAAATAATAAAAAAACTGTATAGCTGAGACGAAACAATTACCAGAGTACGTCATCGATTTCAATTAGCAATGTTGTCAAGTTGTCAGAAAATCATAAAATTCAAAGAAAATAAACATGAATGTAACATTTACGGAAATCAGAAAAATTAAACATTTTAAAAGTATTCAGGAGAAGATTAATAGATGTTTCAATGATTGTAAACAGCGAAAACTAACTCTTTCGTGAGAACTATGCGCTGTAAACAGAAACAAATAGAAAATATACTAGACCCATCTAAAAGAAATTAAAATAAATATACCAAGCTTCATTCAAAACTAAGATAAAGCTCGAGTTCACAATTATCGATCGGTTGTCGTGACGTCGCAGCTTGTCATTGATTAGAAATTAATTTCTAACCAATGAAAAATTGTGACGTCACGACACACACATCGATAGGTGTGAACTCGAGCTTATTAATGGTTTTGAATAACACTGATGATATTCCTTTGTACTTTTTTCTAAGTAGCATGGTTACTTGGATTTTAGATGCCGATAACTTCATTCTAATGTTCTTTAAACTTCTTTTATTCTATTCTGCTCAATTATCCGCTATCACAATGACGAAAACTTCACGGTTTTCTGCCATAAAGTCCTTTTATTTCGTCAACATATTTCTTCTCTGCGTTTCTGAAAGATATATTTGTAATATGCTTGTTTTAAATGGTAAATTTAATTCTGTAGTTACTATTATACCTACTCAATTCCTGTAAGGTACGTCCCTACAGTGTTGCCAGAGTAATATAATACGCTGTCGTTCTTCATACAAATTGCTGATCCTGACCAGCTCATGTCACTGATTTCTACAAGATCAATTTTCATTATTTTATTGCAATGCTAAGTTTTTTATGTGTGAACAGGCTTCTTACAGTTCAAGAACAGATCCTCAGATTACAGTTTCGTATCTGATAGCTTTCGTCGTTTCGCTTTGGCATGTTTATTACGGCCTGGAAGGTCTCTGGAAAATTGTAGTTACAGTGTTAATGTAATTTTTTTTTACCACTGTATCAACCATTTGTTGAAGATCCTTTTAAGATATTCCGCTGCTAGAGCCGTATCCTCAGGGATTGTATATTTTACGTGGTTTTACCATTTACTTTCATTGCGGTATTAATTGATTGCAGTCTATTTCTTCTATAGAATTTCATACCAAAAGGTTTAAGATTAGGATAACGATTCAAGGTGTACAAGTAACAAAGTTAGTATTAAGGGGTTTATTTTACAATTTTTAGTAAGTGAACGGATTTAGTGAACTGATGATCGAAGTTACTGGATTAAAACTAAATAATCAAAGGGTTTTGAACAGTTTAGAGATTACAAATAAGACAACATGCACATTAAAATGCTTTTACATCATGCAGAATTGGTACATATTTACAAATTTCATTAAATTCTTTTGGATCTAAGATTTCAACTGCATAATATATTGAAATTCATCACGGCTCTATTATTCCTAACTGTATGTGATCAATAGTAATAAATTTAAAAAAAATTTCTATGCTTTCACATTAGCATAAATGTAAATAAAGTAAAATAATTAAAGTAAAGCCCATTTAGAAGTCATTACGAACAATAATGGATGCAACATTATGAGGATCTGTGGTATGCTACCGGTTGTATAAGATAATCCTTAGAAGCACAAACTTCATATGGAATTGATTATTTAACAATGAAGAACTGATGGAGAGGATCACAATATCAAAGAAGAAAAAAAGTAACAAGCGGAAACCAAGTTCCTCACAGAACTTGGGCTCTTAATAATGTACAAAATGCAAATACTTTTGCAGAATATCTTGTAACAATATTTCAACCTTTCAAGAAGTTTATTTGATTCATAGCCGAAATTCAATCCAAGCAAATACCCTGACAGAATCCCACTGGTTACCTCTAAGGAAGTTGTTGACGAAATTAAAAGCAATCCAAAATGCATAACTAAAAAGAGCACCAAGATTTGACCTAATAACAGGGTTGTAGAGGACTCAATGGAAAGCTCAATGAAAACTGTAATATACTATTAAAACAAGTTCCAACTTCTTCTTCTTTCTCTTCTGCTTGTTTATTGGCGGATTGATACCTCTATGGGAAGTTGTCATTCAATATTTCAATATTTTGCGCAGTCGTCCGGTAATTCTTCTAGCGATTGGTGATTTACCTCTTGCTTTTTGACCACACCGGTCACCCCCATTCTGTTTATGTGGTTATTCCATTATTTTTTCTGTTTGGTGTCCATTCATTCATTTCATTCATTTGTGTCCATTGTCTTCTAATGTTTTCACTTTTCTTTCGATCTTTCAGCGTATTTCCTGTAATTCTTCTCAGTACACTCTTCTCTGCAATTTACAGTAGCTTTGCCTTGTGGCTATGTCGGTTCTTGTTTCTGAGTCATCTAAGTTGAGATTGCCATATTAAATTCTTTTGTTCTTATGTTGAATCTGTGGACTAGTCTTCGCAGACTATCTTCATCTTGAGCTATCAATATTGCGTCGTCTGCATAATAAAGTATTTTTACTTCATTATTTCCCACTCTGTATTCTCTTTCTTGACACTTTTAATGATTTCATCCATGAATAAATTGAAGAGCATAGGGCTGAATGTCCACTGCATTTGTCTATAGGTTCTGTCCATCTATTCTGATTTCCATTTTGTTGTTTTGGTAGATGATTTCAATAGTTTTTATGATATCCAAGCGAACTTCTCTAAAGAAGATGGATTACATCTTTGAGTATTTTTAATGTACTCTGTCAGATGCTTTCTTCAAGTCAATCAAACACAGAAATGCTGGTCTATTTTACTCTTAATAATTTGCTTTATAACGAATATTACTACTACACGATCTTCCAGGATGAAAACCCTAGTGTTGATTTGCTAAGCTTATTCCCCGATTCCTTTGTTCTTGTACAATTTTAGTTGTAAGTTTTAGGGTAATATTTAACAAAGCTTAAACATCCGGAGTTTTTTGGCTGTTTTTTTTTTATCTCCTTTTTGAACAGTAGAATTATACTCAATTCACAATCAAGATGCAGTAGAAATAAACAAACTAAGATACGTTAAGTGTTACAAGGAGCACTCTGAAATAATTATTTACAATGTATATACATTGTATAATTCCCAAATCATGATTTGCAAAGTTTATACATTGTAAATCATGATTCGGGAGTGTTTCTCGTAACATTTATGTGTCTTGGTTTGTTTATTTCTAGTGCATCTTGATTGTGAATTTAGTATAGTTCGTTAGTTCTCCATTTTACCTGTATTCTATTGTTTTATAATTTTGATAATTAATGTTGTTAATGGTTCTGTCATTGCTGCTATACAATATTTTAGTAATTCGCTTGGTATTCCGTCTTTACTTATATAGATAGTCAATCCATGTATCCAAAATGTCCACCTGGACAAGAAAATGACGCACTAGACTCCGCGAATCAAAATTGACGTAAATTGACTTCAAAATACCTTGGCATGACTCTCGTTATCAAGATTCGGTGAAAAGATCATATTAAGACGAAATGTAATGAGTTCAACAAGTTCAGAAAAATGTTAACTCTGAGTTATCATTCCACAACAAGCGTATTCTATATAAGCAAATACTGCCTGCGTCCAGTGTGGAATTGTGGTGTCTAGATATCATCATCACTCAGCCCTTTGCGTCCACTGCTGGACATAGGCCTCCCTCATTGTTGTCCATTGTGCTTTATCTGAGCACTTTTCATCCAATTTTTTGAAAATTTCTTGAGATCGACAGTCCAAAGAGTAGGGGGTCTTCCTCTACTTATAGTGGAGGCCGAGGTCTAGTTATAGTCCAGGGAAATAAGAATTTCTTAGGACTTCACAATAGCCCACGTATTTGATGAATTTTTCCGCTAATATACGTTTCTGCAGAAAACATACAGGTGTGCTTATTATAAGTATACAGAGTAAGTTGGTAAGTATGGATATGATCGTTCATGGGTAATCTTTCATTTTTTCGACTGTATTTATCTAAATGTATTATTTTAACATTGGCGAAGATAATGTAAATGTAGGCATAATTCCGCATTACTAAGAACGTTCATGACAACGTTCAACGACAGATGCTGGGTATCTTACTTAAAGAACATAAAGCCATTGAAGACATTCGTAAAAGAACAAAAGTAAAAGATGCTGTCGAAAAGGCAGCTAGACTGAAATAGAAATGGGCTGGACATAACGAACGTCTTAAGGATGGCCAATTTAATAAAGAAATCAGGAATTGGCGGCCATATGAAGCCAAAAGACCACGAGGAAGACCGCAAATGAGCTGGAACGACGATATTAAAAGAATTACAGGATCAATGTCTGACAACAATGTAATCATCATCATCATCTTTGACTCTACAACCCTGGGTGGGTCTTGGCCTGTTCAAGAATTAGTGTCCATTCCCCCCTATCTTTCGCCCTAGCTTTCCAATCTCTGACTCTTAGATTCCTCAAGTCATATTCGACTTGAGTTTTGAATCTAGATCTTATCCTGCCCCTCTTCCTGGTTCCTACTGGCTCTTGATATAATATCTGTCTTTGGGAGTCTCCAGTGTCCATTCTTTCAAGGTGTCCTAGCCACCTTAGTCTATTAATTTTAATAGACCGGACGATGTTGCATTTTTCGTAGCATTGATACAACTCAAAATTGTGTCCTCCGTATATGTGTCCGTATGTGACAAATACTCATCCGTATATGTGTCTAAGTATTCGTCTTTCAAAGCGGCCTAACAGTTCTTCGTCGCTTTTTACCATAGTCCATGTCTCTAACGCGTATGTCAGGACAGGTTTAATAAGATTTGCATATATTAGTATCTTGGTTTTCTGCTAATTATGTGTGATGTTAAGAACTGCTTTAGACCAAAGTAAGCTCTGTTCACCAGGTATATTCTTCTCTTAATTTCTACGCTTACTAGGTTGCTGTTATTTAGTTGTGTTCCAAGATATATAAACTCCGAGACCCATTCGAATGTGTGTGGTGCCGCTTATTTGTGTGCTGTTCGCGACCTTCATGTATTTTGTTTTGGATACGTTAACCTGCAGTCCCATTGTCTTCGCGGCTTTTTAGAATGTTTCAAAAGCCTGTATCAGGTCTCTTTTTGTCCGTGTTACTATATCAATGTCATCTGCGTAGGCCAATATCTGTACACTTCTATTGGTGATCGTACCTCTGGTTGTTATGTCCGATTTCTCTATGGCTCTTTCTATCGCGATGTTAAACAATAGACACGATAGACTGTCTTCCTGGCGTAATCCAGTATGCGTTTGAAAAGACCTTGGTATATGTCTTTTCTAAGGTTTGTCTGAGAAAGAGAATCTGATCAATTGTTGACCTTCCTTTTCGGAATCCACATTGGTATTTGCCTATTTTTCTTCAGTATATACTAGTAAACGATCATAAAGTATATAAGCCAGTACTTTGTACAACTGTTGTGGCTACTTCTTTCAGGATATTTTCGCACTCATTTCAGTAATTATCTATGTTTTCAACAGTACTACTCATTTGGTCTTCTAGTTTTTCTTGAAGTTTGTGTTCAAATTTTCTAACTATCTCAGGATTTCCTAGTCTGTCCACCTCGGAATTTATCTTCTTTGCTTCCTTTACCTTTTTTGCGTTAGAGACAACAACAATGAAAGTACCACCATAATATCGTCCGCAACTTTTTAAAAGAAAGGTCTTACATGTACAGTAAATGCGCTTTAGACGTGCGAAAAAGCGATCTTCAAGATGACTTAAACATTAATATTACATTTACCAACTCTCATCAGGAGAGATTCCAAAACCACACTAACACCGAATCAGACTAAAACGGACAAAACTTTTTACATGACAAATCATGAAGTGATTTACAAATACCCGCAAGCTCAATAATTCTATATAATAATGTAATAGAGAATCCAAGAAACTTCGATGTAATGTAATAGAGAATCCAAGAAAGTTCGATGTATCATGATTGTAAAGGTTCAGATTGATATACAAAGAAGAAACAAAGTTGGTAAATCTATATCTCCATAGTAGACAGATCATTATTGGTGTACGTTAAGGCAAGATCGAAGGACCAGCTAGTTAGTTAAAATATACAACGAATTCGAAAAAGCTGTCACGAAAAAATACAATGAACTACTTGAAACACAGTTTCGTCATCAAATTCTTTGTCATGTATTGGGGAACAAAACTTGATTTAAAGTTGGTGTGAGTGATAAGTAGTATGCAAGTATTGTAGACAGACTGACTGAGACAGACTGATCCAGATATGTGGTGCATTTGTTATCAATGTATTAAATTGTATCTTATTTTTTTGTTCTTACATATACAAGTACGTTAAAGTAAGCAGTTAAAAGTTATCAATAGCCATAAAGGTGCAGCTGACAGCCAAGTCGTGATGAAAGAAATAAAAAGCATATTTAACAAAGTCTACGGACTAACACTACTAATGGCACACGAAAGTTACGTGCAACGAGAAATTACTTAAAAAATTATCATGAGTGCGCTAATGCAACTGTTATTTTCTGTAGTATTAATAGGTGTTAATCTTACCAAAGTTGTAGTTTTTGTACACCAACTCTTGTGGCGTCTGATCGTCCAGATCTGCGCTGTTAATACCAAGGGGATCCAACTTAGCTATGTGATGTCCTCGAATCTAAAAAATTAGCCAACACCTCTATCTAGTTTCACAGCGCAAATGTGAGGGGAGAAGGTATGTGTGTGAGGAATTTTATACAAAGATATACAATTATTATTACTTTACGCTTCTTTAATAAACCAACATATATATCTACGCTCAGACGGATTGACAACTATTTTAAAGCAATGCTCTATATTATTGGAAATAGACACCAGCTTTTATGCTTTAGAGACATAAAGCAACAACATTTTAGAGAATTAAGACAACTTAGAAATAAATGTTGATTTAAAAAAAAATCAATAATCTGACATTGTAGACATATATTTTTTCTATATGTATTAGAATTATTTTAATCCTAAAATTACCAAATGTCATTGTATTACTACACTTCAATATCTTCGATACTCCTCGAATCATATATACAGGGTTTATTCAAATATTTTTACAAAATAACTATTATAAACCACAACCTTCTATCAGAGCCCAGGTTAATAAAGCAAAAACTCCATGTTAGTCTACTGACATCATTAGGTTAGTAGGCGCCTACCATTTACACAAACTATTTGTCAAAAATTGAATACGTCATCAACAAAATTGAACATATTGTTCTGACAATTGACATATGTCAGAATTGACATCGCCAAATTTGAGAAGCTGTCAAGTTCAAATCCGAAATAATGACAATGAATAAAAATAATACGTGTTTAGATTGTTTTTATGATAATATATTCAACTATGAATATTACGTATTTAATGATTGATATTTACAGCGATATAAGAAATCAGTTGGCAAAGAAAAGAATAAATGAATCATTATCGTTTTAAGTGACAGTTAACAGGATTCCTAAGTCCTGACAAAATATGAAATAAATTATATTAAATGTATCAAAAGTGGGAAGTGATAATGTGTAATATATTGTGGGTTTGATGCAAAACTCGTTAAATTGAGAGTTTAAGAAAATTTTAGTCCAATCTCATAGTTGCTTTTTCGAATAGTACAAGCTAGTTCTTTATTCATTTTTTTTTGTACTTGCTGAAATTTTTATATGTTTTCAACAATTTGGCAGTAATTTCTTAAACCTAGAGCATTTGAGCCAATTTATTCTTGTATTATTACAGTCAACTGTTTTATTCTCTAGCAAATTCCTCGACAAATATCATAATTCTAGTTATTCATTAAACCTAAGTTGATTGGTAATACAAGGTACATATTTTCTTCTTCAGGTGCCCTCTTCTAGAGAAGGTTTCTTTTAGCGACTTTAACAATTTTTTTTCTATCTTGGGCTTTTTTTTATTAGCGATTGGAAGTCTAACCTAGTCCATTCTTTATGTTTCTTAGCAACGTCATTTGTCGTCTACCAGTGATTGCATATGTGTCGTTTTGTCTCTAGATGATTCTTCTTTCACTATCTCGCTAAAAGATCTAAAACTATTGCATTAACTGGTGGTAGCACTTTCGTATTGGTGATCATGCTCTCTAATTGTTTGATCTTCTCCTCTAGGTCGGTTACATTTTTCTGTATCTTATCGAATGTTCTAGAAACTTCTTTAAATATCTCTTTATTCTGAATATTGTTCTGAAGCTATTTTCTTGTGGCATTGTAAATTAGTTACTGTTAAACTGGGAATAAGCCACAATTAAAGATAAAAATACGTTTATTGACGTTTCAATTTCCACTTCGGAAATCTTTCCGAAGTGTAAATTGAAACGTCAATAAACGTATTTTTATCTTTAATTGTGGCTTATTCCCAGTTTAACAGTAACCTCTTTATTCTGAGTACACACTTTTTTAATTATTTGACAAGTATCGTCGAATCTTCTAAAAACGTTTTCGGCTTTTTCGTCTTTTTGGCTAGCTGTTTCTTTTATAATTTGAGAAGTTACATCGAATCTTTCATCATTCTTTCTAAAAGTTTCTTTAATCGTTTGAGAAACATTTTCGAATTTCTCATTTATTTTCGTTAAAACTGCTTTTTCCGCTGACTGAAACTGAAATGCCTTTGGGTCATCTCCAACCCTGTTGAGAACATTCTTCAGTCGTTTTTGAAGGCTCTTCTTCTTCTAGTTGTTCACGTAATTGTTTTACTGACAGTTCTACGATTTGCATATTTGGTTACGCACACACGTACTTTTCAAATGTTTTTTTCTTACAAAAATCACTATCGAACTACGCGGATGTTCTCGACAAAAAATTATTTTTCACAAGTTCAAAAGTCTTTTTCAAACGTCATTGCTTAATTCTTTTTAAATGAATAAATTATCTCACACCATGACACCACTGTAACATGTTTAAATAAAACGAGCGGTTCTAATTTATTTAAAACTATTTATTTTTAAGCCTACACTAAGATATTATCTCATCAACTAACGTTATACATTATTTCTAGAAGTATCTGGAGTAGCCCACCTCTATTCTAGCTTGTATAAACGCCTCGATCTGTAGCTCAGCCGCTACATCATGCTACACATGATGGTGTACATGTCATCACGCTGAGAGATGCAACCGTTATATGAGGGACGTCGAAATTAGCTTTTTGGTTACAATATGTCTGAATTGTCAATATGAATGAGTCAGATATATTAAATTAGAAGAATTTTTACCAAACAACAAAAAAAGAAATTTGTTTAATTTATTAATATTTTGTATTTTGAGATCGATTTCCGAAATCGAAATCTACAACAAACTTAATATTAAGTAAAAATTAAATTGCATTAAAATGTCATAAGAAAATAGCTTCAGAACAATATTTTGCATTAATATCATGAAGCTAAATAATGCTTCTCTGGTTCCTTAACCGTTTCTGAAGCCAAATTGCTCTGGACTCATGTGTTCCTCGCATTACCTATGAATTCGATTATTATGTTGTTGAAGATTTGAGCGAACTGGTCTAAATTTTCCTCTTGTATCTTTTGCACCAAACCTACGATATTACTATATGTTTATTCTAATACGATATTTTATTTAAACCTTCTTTAACAAAGTGTTCAAAATATTCTTTAAAATTCTAACGATAAATAGATTTTTCCGATTCTTTTTCAACGATCCCTTATACCGTCATCGAAGTACGTACTCGACACAATAACAAGATGATATAAAAATGATAAATGTTTCAAACTGAACGACCATTATATCTCTCCTAGAAAGAGCTTATTGGTCGTACCTAATTTGTGTTGCCTCGTGATCACGTCGGGCGGGCAGACTGCCCCTTCGGATACGGTACTATTTCGGTCAGTGTACATGATACCCAAGGGATCCAATTTTGCGATAAAATGGCCGCGAGCCTACGACAATTGCAATGGTTCAACAAATTGGTGACTAAAATAACGCATGTTAAGCGTTGGTCATTCACAGAATGTACAAAACAAACAGTAGTTATAATTCGTTAGGCATAGACTGCTTCAGCACGAGCTGAAGCATGGTCTAAAACCTAAGATGCAACCATCAGATATAAAATTTTATCATACCTATACGAAGTATGTCAAAAAATACGAATTTCGCTCAAGAACAAAGTACCTTTATATTTCACAATAAAATGCGTCTTTTTGGTGTATAGACTTTTAAAATATTTTCTCCGAATCATATTTTCATTCTTGCACAGAATGTGACCGTCTTTGTTTTTAAATTGTTTTGATGTTTGTTGTCTTTTCTTTGTTCTTAAATTTCTCAGAGATTTATAGAATAACATTGGGTGGGTCTAGTAGTCATCTCAGCTTTTCCTTTTCTCTTTTATCACTATGTCTTCCACTTTTATTCTCGCTTGCTTATATTTTTGTAAGTTTTTTATGTTTTGGTTTCTTAGGTAGTTACTCCATGCTAAAGTCTTAATTTTGACCTCTTCTTTTATTTCTTTACTCCCCAATCCGAACTTTATATTATTTATATTGATTGTAATTCCACAGATCTGCTATTCTACTTCCGTCTAGAAATGTTTCTTTTTACTTTTTGCCCAATTTCTTTTACATCGTAGTTCTGGTTTACGTGTTTCTCTAGACAATTCTTCACATAATTTTCGTATTACCAGTTTCGTTACCAGTTTCCAGAAAACTCAGTATGTGCGGGAACAGTATGCGAGGGAGCATTACCACAGAGATCGCCACATTGCCGGCAGCCTTTTAGCGTCATCGCGCGTGTTTACGCTGTTAGGGCATTTTTCAATTTCGATGGCTTCCCGAACGATTCTCAAAATCTATTTTGTTACCTGTCTGAATATAATGTTGGGCTAGGGCTGAAGTAATATCAGAATGTTTTACAGATATAGAATGTTCGTAAATACGGTTGTGGATTCGTCGGTTTGTCTGTCCTATGTATGTACGTGGGCAACTGGAACAAGGTATCTTGTAGACACCATGGTCTTCATTGGGGATTTGATCTTTTACGAATCTGGCGAGATTAGACAACTTGGAGAGGGTAATTTTCATTTACCTGACCGCGGAAATTTATCCGAATATATATATATATATATATATATATATATATATATATATATATATATATATATATATATATATATCACAAAGTTTGTACATTCTTTAACAAGACCAATCCTTAACACTTTGATATGATTGAAATTTAGTGACTTATGTTGCAGAAATTTTGAAACTCCACGAACAACCCAAATATCCAAGCGCCTGGATCATTTTTCAGTTTGTCCTGAAAAAGTTCTAAAAATGTATTACACCTTAATCAATAAATACTGTTTACCGATAGGTTAGTAACTAGCACATGATTTTGGTTAAATTTTCTCCAGGTATAAGCGTGTAAGCTTTCTTCTACAACCCTTATATATAAAACTGTGTTATCACTTCAATGGTGAGAGATATATTTTGAGGACTGCACAAATTTCGTATGGATACATGTTAATTGTAAAACTAAGGTAACTATCTTTCGAATAATGCAAAATAAACATCAAATCAGGAAGCCTCAAATGGACCAAGATATACTTCATTCAATGTATTCTCTTACTATTGATCTTTTTCAATTATCTTTGAAATGGGAATTGCTGTAAATTTAGAG